TACACAACTGGTGAAAATTTATGGATGGGATCAGAAGACACCAACACAATGGAAAAAGTTTCTATCAGATGAAACAAACAAAGAAGCACTGGCAGAATTCCTCTATGTTGTGTGGCGAGAGGCTGATCTTACCACTGTGGGAAAGGACTTAAGCTTGTACATAGCACATGGAGACCTGTGTCACTGCGTGACTGTAATGGAGGGTTTACATACTCTCAGTGCTGTTGAAGATCTGACATGTGATCATGAGGAATGTGACACCAGGGTGTTTTTACATGCACAACATGCTGCACAGGAACATCAAACTGTAGTCATCAAAAGCCCTGATACTGATGTGGCAGTGATTGCTTTAAGTCTGCAGCCAGATTTACCATGTAGGTTTTATTTTTTCACGGTGGTTGGCAACAAAACAAGGCTCATTGACTTAGCTAAGGTGTCGTCAGCTCTTGGCACAAGTGTCTGTTCGGCACTTATTGGGATCCATACCTTCTCAGGTTGTGACTCTACAAGTGCCTTTTATGGCAAAGGCAAAAGAAAGGCATTTTCTGTTGCTTGTGAGAAAGAGGAATATCTAACTGCTTTTACAAATCTGGGTAGCAGTTTTAACCTAGACCAGTCTACCTTTGAGCTACTTTGCACATATGTGTGCCACCTGTATGGCCAGTCAGCTTTTCCAGAACTATCCATGCCCCCGACAAGTGACGCCCTGTACCAACACTGCAAAAGGGGCAAACTACCAAGCAGCCATAATGAGACATTCTCTGAAAGGTATAATGTGTGCCCCTTCACCCGTTGGCAATGGATGGCACCTCGAGGATGGTGAGTTAACAGTGACCTGGATGACTAGAAATCCTGCCCCTGAAAGTGTGTTGCAGGCAGTCCAATGCAGTTGCAAGCATAGCAAATGTGAGACTGGAAAATGTTCCTGTATGTCTGCAAGACTGTCTTGTACTGATTTATGTCAGTGCCAAAATTGTGCAAATGTTTCACAGGAAACAGAAGAAAGACCTACATGGGATGATGGCTCTGATAGTGATAGGGATGATACCGATGAGTGAATATGCGCTGTATTATAATTTAAGGTGATTTTGAACTGTAAAGAATCTGTGGTAGAATTGTAAAAACAAATTGGCAGCATTCCAAAACAAGGGGACAGTGTAGCATTTCGAGTCATTTCAGCCAACTTGGGCCAAAGTGTGCTTATATTTGTATATTTTTGTGATTACACAGTACCTACTGAAAATTTTGATGTACAAAACATCACAGTTTTGCTAAATTTAAAATGTTTATGTTTAATTTTGCTTAGTGCCAATCCGTGAAGTTGAAGCATATTTTCTACAAATGTGCCATATTTCATGGTCTACATTCACACTTGAGTATATAATGCAGCAAAACCTGTCTCAAGTGTTTAGGTACATGTATAAGTGTCAGTTTGAGAGATATTTGGTGTTGCTAAATGTATATAAATAAAGTTACAAACAAAACCAGCAGCATAAGATTTTCGTTTTTTCCAATTCACAATTATATACATTTATGGATTTTGAAAAAAAACTGCAGGGTATTTTGCGGAGAACTTTTAACATAAAGTCGAAAATGGTTTTGTCTATGAAAAATTTCATTTAAAAAGTAGTTCCCAGGTGTGGGAACGAAAATAATTTTTTGCCACTTTTTCCTAGTTCACCTTACGGCCTAGGGGACAGTGATATGTCCTTGATTAGTGAAACCATGTGGGCCGAATTAAGTAGAGCTGAGGCGGTCTTCCCGTGAAGGGAAGCAGTCTCAGACAGAAATCGTGCCAGTCTGTAAGTGGGTGAGTTAATGGTGGATACGATAGGACGGAGTGGAGTACCCTCTTTATGGATTTTTGGAAGGCCGTAAAATCTGGGATGGTCTAGCAGCTGAAGGTTTTAGAGAGAGCTGTTTGGTGCATTCGATTACGGAAGTCGAATTACTGATGATTTTGTTGGTTTTAGTAGCAAAGCTATTGGTAGGAACTCCTACAGCCACGAATTGACAAAACTCCCCCCCCCCTTCCGTGCCTATATAAAGCCACAACAGCACATCATTTTTCTCAACTGATGACGGACACTTGTGTTGCGACTGAAACGTTGTGTTTTCTTTTATAATTTTTTCTATTTACGTGACTTTACCGAAAGAACCAGAGAGTATGGATTCCTGCAGTCACGAAAGCTTCAAATCAAGTGCGTGCATTGTATATTTTTTAGTGTTTACAGTACCAGCTCGCGGCACCGAGGGCAGCTGCCTCCTCATACTGCCTCCCAACTACAACAACAGCAGCCGCCATTCGCCACAAAGTGGCTGTAACGTCACCACGGCACTTGTGCCAGGCTATGTGCACTTTAAGCCCACCGTGAAGTGTCGATCGCCTGCTGGGAGGTGAAGAGGCAGACCCAGGTGCCACGAGTTGACTGAGATGACCGGCCGATGCACCACCTGGGCCCCCAACTTTGCCAACTTGCTGTGTTTTATCCGCCTGGCGCTTCGCTCGTTGTTGTGAGCATCGCTCCGCCCTCCGTTGTTGTTGGAGGGTGACTGCCTCCAACTGCCCAGTAGCGTCCTTCACGAGCCTCCTCCACGTCCTCCTGTACAACATCACTCCATCTCTTCTCTAGCCCGTGCCGTGCCCGCTTAGCCCCCTCGATCCGGCCGAACAAAAGCTGTTTAAGCATGCGGTGGCTGGGCATGCGGGCTACATGACCCAGCCAATGCAACCTTGCCTGCCGGAGGAGTTCACCAATGGGACTTTGTCCACATCTTTCAAGGATTTGTGAGCTCCTCACAATCCCGCCTGGTTAAACCCAGGATGGATCCTAGGCAGGCCAGCCTAAATGCTTCTAACCGGCGAAGATGTTCCATTAGGGGGATCCACATTTCGCAAGCGTAGAGAAAGGAGGGAATGACCGTGTCCGAGAAGACCTGAAGCTTCTTGCGGAGTGATAGACCAGGTAGCTTCCACACAGCGTTACGCAACCGATGAAAAGATAATGCCGCTCGACTGATTCGGAGTGAGACCTCTGCTGTTACACCGGAGCCGGTCATGAGCACACTGCCCAGGTATGAGAAACTCTCCACTTTTTCCACAACTGCCCCATCACCGATTGGGAGTTGTGGGGGTGGAGTGCCCGATGGTACAAAATACCCAGGCAGGTGCTTCGTTTTGGTGGGACTGATGGTAAGGACCCACCTCTTAGTGGCACACTCCAGTTTCAGCAGCAGCGCCTCCAACTCCTCTGAGTGAGCCGCAATTACCAGGTCATCGGCATCAATAATGTAGTTAACCAATAAGGAGCCATCCCTTGACCGCACCTGGGCATCGATCAGCCTCCCATTGTAACTGTACCAGATGGAAATTCCTCCGATACAGCTACTGAAGGCTTCATGAACTACGTGGTCGAAATAGATGTTAAATAATGTTGGAGCCAGAGGACATCCCTGTCGCACCCCAAAGTTGAGCAAGGAATTGCTCCGACTCCCGGCCACGTAGTTTTACCTGGGCCCGCTCAGCATCATGAAGATCCTTAATGATCGTGAGCAGCGGGTCAGGGAGCACGAAGAACAACCCAGAGCCCAGGCTTACTGATGGTATCATAGGCCTTGACCAGGTCAATAAGCAGAGATGTAGGTCTTGTTGGAATTCCCTACACCTCTGCTATAGCAAACGGACAGAAAATATGGCATCTGTGCAGGACCGCCCTTTCCTGAAACCACATTGGGGCTCCACAAGCCTCTCCTCAGCGGGCCTGGCAAGGCGGTGTTGAATATTCCTTGCCAGGACCTTTCCCGGCACACTGTGGAGTGAGATTCCCCTGTAGTTGTTACAGTCTGTGCGGTCTCCCTTCCTAAAGATGGGGACCACCAGGGCATCCTTCCAGTCCTGCGGAACCTATCCAGTGCTGCAGACTGCTGTTATGATGTCATGTAGGCAGTCTGTGCACAAACGCCACCCTCTCTTAGCATTTAGCTTGGGAGATCATCTTTGCCCGGTGCCTTTCCTAGTCTCAGACTCTGGATCACCTTCAGTACTTCCTCAACAGATGGCACCTCATACAGCCACTTACAGGGGGTGACTTCTTCCAATATTTGAGGCAACGCAGCCTCAGCAGGGTCATCCCCACTTTGTCCCACGATTTTACCATGTGGAGGGATTTCCCCTCCCCCAGGACTTCACAGAAATGCTAACCAACTAGGCATTGAAGTCACCCAACAAGATTACTTTATCCCGATGGGCCACTTTAGCCAGCACCTGTGACAGAAGGTCATAGAAAGCATCTGACTCATCGGCCTAGCCTGCATCCCTCCATGGATGTTCATCTTCGGTGGGGGCATAAGTAACCACGACCACCACTCCTCAACATCTGGTTGGCCATCCATAGTGGCTTTTTGTTGTTTCTGGAGGAGCCCCGAGGGTAAAGATTCAATCTCCTGGCTCCGCCAAATGGGGTTTGGCCAGGAGACGTCATAGACGCCTGTCCCCCCGGGGCCTCTGGCACAAGCTTGTTAATTAAAATTTTCGGTTGTAGTCTAGTGGTAGTTTGATTGAAGGTGGAGGGGTTACCGGCCCCTTGCACCCATCCAGAGCCCCCATTTAGCTGCTGTGGTGGTCACAGACGCCATGAGGGGAAAAGCCAATCGGAATTGGCCCTCCCCCCCACAGCACTGTCCACGACAGCGTTGCCCGTCCGGCACCACGTGCCATTTAGACTCTGTCTTATCGACAGACATGTTCTTCACCTGAGGACGGCTGCTTGCGTTGTGGCCGAAACGTCGTGAGAATTATTTTATTATGTTTTATTTTTATAATTTTATTACTTCCCTTCTACGTGACTTTACCGAAAGAACCAAGAAGAAGAGGTAGGGGGTTGTTTTACTGGACATAGACATACACACACGCTGGCACACACACACATAACTATTAGACACACACACAAAAATTACACACATGCATTCTCGTCGTTTATTGATTGATAGATTGTGTAACCCTGCACAATCTGCAGCGTAGCGGCAGCACTCGAAGGCAGACAAGTGCGACGATGCGGACTGTGGTAGGGTTGTGGATGTTCCCGGGGCTCCTCTCCTGGCTCGTCAGCCCAGGTGTCTGCCCCCAGCCTCAGGTGAGGGAGGGGCTGCGCACCACCTCCACATCACCTGTGTGCTCAGCTGGCTGTGCTGGCTGGCTATGCGAACTGTCCTAGCTGTGTTGGCTGTTCTGGCTGACCTGTCTGTGTTGGCTGTACCGACGGTGTTGACTGTACTTTCTGTGTTAGCTCTACTGGCTGTACTGGCTTTGTTAGCTGTGTTCGCTGCTTTTGGCTGTCCTGGCTCTAATGGCTGTGCTGGCTGTTGGGTGTGGTGGCTGTCCTGGCTCTACTCGCTGTACTGGCTGAATTAGCTGTACTGGCTGTACTGCCTGTGTTGCCTGTGCTGGATGTGTTGGATGTACTGGATGTACTGGATGTGCTGGATGTGCTGGATGTGCTGGATGTGTTGCCTGTGCTGGTTGTACTGGATGTGGTGGATGTACTGGATGTGGTGGATGTGGTGGATGTGCTGGATGTGCTGGATGTGCTGGTTGTACTGGATGTACTGGATGTGCTGGTTGTGCTGGATGTGTTGCCTGTGCTGGATGTGCTGGATGTGGTGGATGTGCTGGATGTGTTGCCTGTACTGGATGTGCTGGATGTGCTGGTTGTGCTGGATGTGCTGGTTGTGCTGGATGTGCTGGTTGTGCTGGATGTGCTGGATGTGCTGGATGTGCTGGATGTGCTGGATGTGTTGCCTGTACTGGATGTGCTGGATGTGCTGGTTGTGCTGGATGTACTGGATGTGCTGGATGTGCTGGATGTGCTGGATGTACTGGATGTGCTGGATGTGCTGGACGTGCTGGATGTGCTGGACGTGCTGGACGTGCTGGACGTGCTGGACGTGCTGGATGTGGTGGATGTCCTGGATGTCCTGGATGTGCTGGATGTGCTGGTTGTGCTGGTTGTGCTGGTTGTGCTGGATGTGCTGGATGTGCTGGATGTGCTGGATGTGCTGGATGTGCTGGTTGTGCTGGTTGTGCTGGATGTGCTGGATGTGCTGGATGTGCTGGTTGTGCTGGATGTGCTGGATGTGCTGGATGTGCTGGATGTGCTGGTTGTGCTGGATGTGCTGGTTGTGCTGGATGTGCTGGATGTGCTGGATGTGCTGGATGTGCTGGACGTGCTGGATGTGCTGGATGTGCTGAATGTGCTGAATGTGCTGGATGTGCTGGATGTGCTGGATGTGCTGGACGTTGTGAAACTCCCTTTCTCGCCGTGGGCGTCGGGGAGGAGCCGTACCCTGGCTTGCCAGGAGGCGGCGGTACAGAAAAAAGTGTGGACTAATCTCCATCTGCTCCATTTGTGTGGGACACAGTTTCCTTGATTCTTGGTTCTTTCGGTAGTCACGTGGATAGAAAACAAAACAAAATTTGAAATACAAAATTTAAATAATAAAATAAGAAATTGAAAATAATAAATTCAAAAAACCCACAACAAAAATATTTCTTTAACTTAAAAATAAATTGAAAATAATAAAAGCAAAAAATCCACGACGTTTCGGTCGCAACACAAGAGGGGACAAGCCTCCAAATGCAACTGCTGATAAGGGTTCCAAAGTGAGTGGGCGGTTGAAAGAGACGCGCAGCAAGCAACACGCTAATGCAGGAGAAAAACAATGGGGGAGTCGGGAGGAGGAGGAGAGCTTGTGCAGCGCAAACCGCATGGGCGGGGCAGCCAGTCAGCCAGCGCCAATGTAGGAGCAGACAATGGGGGGAGGGGGCAGAGACAGGGGGAGAGAGAAGGGGAGCAGGGAGAGGGGGGGTAGAGATGGGGGGGGGGGGGGGGGCATTGCACCTCGCTACACACATCCACACTGTTGATGGCAGAGGTTGACAAGAAAAACAAATCAAGGCATGACCCAAAGTGGTTGATGACATCTTTCCAATGATTGCTGAGTTTAAAACCGTCGTCTCGGTTGAAATTGTGTCTGTATTAATGGATGGCTTCGTGAACGAATCTTTGTTGATAGCCAGTAGGCTTGCAAAGTACCATTGTCTTAGATAAATAAATTTCGTGTGAGCCAGCCACATTAAAACAATGATCAGCCACGGCAGAAGTATTGATCCTACCATGTTTCAGATCTACCATATGTTCACGAACACGGTCCAAGACATGTCGTTTAGTTTCCCCAATGTAACTGCTGCCGCAGATACAGCTTAGTTTGTAGACGCTGGGATATTGCATGTCAGGAATCTTGTCCTTCACAGATGGGATCAGGTCACAAATTTTATGCATTGTGTTCAATCGGACCTGGATCTTGTGTTTGTTCAAGATTTTGGAAATCTTTTTGGTTATACCTGCTATGTAAGGTAAGGTGATGGTTTTAATTGGATCTTCAGATGGCTACTTCCTCACGGTTGGGGTGATGGCTTTGCGGATTGTGTAGTCAACAGTGTTTCCCCCTCTATACGCTTCGGGTTTTCTCTGAGTGCTCCGGTTCCCCCCCCCCCTCCACACACATAAACTCTCATTAATTGGTCGATAACATCTTCCTATATAAGAGGACCGCAGAGCTTGGTCAGTTGTTGGTAGTGCCGGCTCCTCTCCACATTGTGGCTTCTGCTGCTCCTGCCTTCCTGCTCCTCGTCCGTGGTTGCTGTTCCACGCGTCCCCGAGGAGTCGCCCCCCCCCCCCTCTTTCGGAGAGCAAAGAGCGAACTCTGCGCGCGTTACGAGTTCACCATTGTTATTTCGGGCTTGATTTCTGTCTCGATGTTAGAGCTGGGATTGCGTGGAGCCCCCTGGCGCAGTTGCACCGCCTGCACGCTCGCATCGCTGCCATCGCCTTCAGTCGGGTGATTGATGATGATGATGATGATTGGGGGGCGCCACTGCTTTGGGGTATCCGTTGATTTTGGACTCGATTCAGCGCACGTCTAGAATGTGGATCTTCCGCAGGGATTGCGACATTGTCCCCCAATCTTGAGTAAATATTGAATGTCCCATCGGTGTGGCACAGCGTGCCCATACGCAGGCAGCATGCAACACAGCATACCACACGCAGGCAGGGTGGCACACAGTCTGCTACACAGTGTATGTGTGGGTGAGTGTGTGGGACAGTGAGTGGGTGTGTGAGTGTGTGTGAGTGAGTGGGTCAGTGATTGGGTGTGTGAGTGAGTGGGTCAGTGATTGGGTGTGTGTGAGTGAATGGGTCAGTGAGTGAGTGTGTGAGTGTGTGCGAGTGCGGTTAGCGCCGCGCTATGAACCTGGCGACCCGGGTTCGATTCCCACTCACGGCCAACACCAGTGATGATTATCTGAACTGGTCCTGGGCCTCCCCTAGATTGACTCAGCCTCAAATGAGTACCTGGTGCGATGTGTAAACATCGTCACTAGGGAGACAAAGGCGGCCAGGTGTGGTGTTGGCCACCCACCCCCTCGTGTGCCGTGCCGGCCTTCATAGGTGCTCGCTAACAGCACTTGCCCCTACAGCCTGTTAAGGCTACACGGGGAATCTTTGTTTTGTGCGAGTGTGTGAGCTGAAACAATGATAATTATATTCGGGTGCGTCGTTACACGCTTGTAAACCGCGTGACTATCATTAGTTTGATCATTAGTTTGATCATTAGTTTGGCTGTATCGGGTGCTGGAGGGTCTTAGTGACACGGCCAGGTAACCCAAACATCAACTCTGAATCATGGTCACATTGGCTGCTGCATGTCGAGTTACCACATGTTGCCCATCTGTCCGTGCCCTGCAGGTCCAGCGGTCGGTGCTGGTGGCACCTCCTCCCGGTGAGTTAGCGCCCTCCCTGCCAGCTGCATGCCGTGAGAGTCACGCTCCGCATTGCGGTGGGGTGCTCGCGGCCAGCAGCGGCCGTAGCCACGACGCAAGCCGCACGATGAACGCACGAGCTGCTTGCCTGCGATTGGCTACCACTGCACGCGTGCGGAGCGTGCGCGAGCGTGCGGAGCGGTCGAGCGTAGCGGTTCGCGCGCTGCCTCGACGAAACCGGTGGTGGATCCGAGTTCTATTCCCGCTCACGACCATCACCTGTGACGATTTATCTGAACTTGTCCTGGGCCTCCTCTAGGTTGATTCAACCTCAGATGAGTACCTGGTGCGGTGTGTGTAAAACAAGAGGAGTTGGGAGACAAAGGCGGCCGGGCTAGGTGCTGGCCACCCACCGCCGGCCTTCATAGTCGCTACTCGCTCACAGCACTTGCCCCAACAGCCTTGTGTGGGCTACACCGGGGGACCTTTGTATTTGCCTGCACGTGTGTGTGAAGCCGGCGTGAAGCAGTCGACGGATGGCACGGCCGTGTGCCACTTCCCGTTCGTCTACCGGAACGAGTCGCACCTCGAGTGTCTGCAGGACACGCTGGGCCTCCAGTGGTGGGCAGCACAACACACAACACACCACGCAGTACAACACACAACATACCACGCAGTACAGCACACAGCACACCACGCAGTACAACACACAACACACCACGCAGTACAGCACACAACACACCACGCAGTACAACACACAGCACACCACGCAGTACAGCACACAGCACACCACGCAGTACAGCACACAACACACCACGCAGTACAACACACAACATACCACGCAGTACAGCACACAGCACACCACGCAGTACAACACACAACACACCACGCAGTACAGCACACAACACACCATGCAGTACAACACACAGCACACCACGCAGTACAGCACACAGCACACCACGCAGTACAGCACACAACACACCACGCAGTACAACACACAACATACCACGCAGTACAGCACACAGCACACCACGCAGTACAGCACACAACACACCACGCAGTACAGCACACAACACACCACGCAGTACAACACACAACACACCACGCAGTACAGCACACAACACACCACGCAGTACAACACACAGCACACCACGCAGTACAGCACACAACACACCACGCAGTACAACACACAGCACACCACGCAGTACAGCACACAACACACCACGCAGTACAACACACAGCACACCACGCAGTACAGCACACAACACACCACGCAGTACAGCACACAACACACCACGCAGTACAACACACAGCACACCACGCAGTACAGCACACAACACACCACGCAGCACAACACACAACACACCACGCAGTACAGCACACAACACACCACGCAGTACAGCACACAACACACCACGCAGTACAACACACAGCACACCACGCAGTACAGCACACAACACACCACGCAGCACAACACACAACACACCACGCAGTACACACACAGCACACTACGCAGTACAGCACACAACACACCACGCAGTACAGCACACAACACACCACGCAGTACAACACACAGCACACCACACAGTACAGCACACAACACACCACGCAGCACAACACACAACACACCACGCAGTACAGCACACAACACACCACGCAGTACAGCACACAACACACCACGCAGTACAACACACAACACACCACGCAGTACAACACACAACACACCACGCAGTACAGCACCCACACACCACGCAGCACAACACACAACACACTACGCAGTACAGCACACAACACACCACGCAGTACAGCACCCACACACCACGCAGTACAACACACAACACACCACGCAGCACAACACACAACACACCACGCAGTACAGCACACAACACACCACGCAGTACAGCACACAACACACCACGCAGTACAGCACACAACACACCACGCAGTACAACACACAACACACCACGCAGTACAACACACAACACACCACGCAGTACAGCACACAACACACCACGCAGTACAACACACAACACACCACGCAGCACAACACACAACACACCACGCAGTACAGCACACAACACACCACGCAGTACAGCACCCACACACCACGCAGTACAACACACAACACACCACGCAGTACAACACACAACACACCACGCAGTACAGCACACAACACACCACGCAGTACAACACACAACACACCACGCAGTACAGCACACAACACACCACGCAGCACCCACACACCACGCAGTACAACACACAACACACCACGCAGCACCCACACACCACGCAGTACAACAAGCAACACACCACGCAGCACACCACGCAGTACACCACCCACACACCACGCAGTACAACACACAACACACCACGCAGTACAACACACAGCACACCACGCAGTACAGCACACAACACACCACGCAGCACCCACACACCACGCAGTACAACACACAACACACCACGCAGCACCCACACACCACGCAGTACAACACACAGCACACCACGCAGTACAACACACAACACACCACGCAGCACACCACGCAGTACAGCACCCACACACCACGCAGTACAACACACAACACACCACGCAGCACCCACACACCACGCAGTACAACACACAACACACCACGCAGCACACCACGCAGTACAGCACCCACACACCACGCAGTACAACACACAACACACCACGCAGCACAACACACAGCACACAGCACCCACACACCACGCAGTACAACACACAACACACCACGCAGCACACCACGCAGTACAGCACACCACGCAGTACAGCACACAACACACCACGCAGTACAACACACAACACACCACGCAGTACAACACACAACACACCACGCAGCACACCACGCAGTACAACACACAACACACCATGCAGTACAACACACAACACACCACGCAGTACAACACACAACACACCACGCAGCACACCACGCAGTACAACACACAACACACCATGCAGTACAACACACAACACACCACGCAGTACAACACACAACACACCACGCAGCACACCACGCAGTACAGCACACAGCGCAGTACAGCACACCACACAGAACACCACACAGCACCCACATACCACGCAGCACACCACGCAGTACAGCACACAGCACACCACGCAGTACAGCACACCACACAGAACACCACACAGCACACCACACAGCACACCACGCAGTACAGCACACAGCACACCACGCAGTACAGCACACCACACAGAACACCACACAGCACACCACACAGCACACCACGCAGTACAGCACACAGCACACCACGCAGTACACCACACAGCACACCACGCAGTACAGCACACAGCACAGAACACCACACAGCACACCACGCAGTACACCACGCAGTACAGCACACCACGCAGTACAACACACCACAGCACACCACGCAGTACAGCACACAGTACAACACACAGCACACCACGCAGTACAACACACCACTCAGTACAACACACACCACACAGCACACAGCACACCATGCAGGCAGTACAACACACAGCACACCACGCAGCACCCCACGCAGTACAACACACCACACAGCACAGCACACAGCACACCACACAGCACACCACGCAGCACACCACGCAGCACCCCACGCAGCACAGAACCCCACGCAGCACAGCACGCAGCACATCACGCAGCACCCCACGCAGCACCCCACGCAGCACAGCACCCCACGCATCACCCCACGCAGCACAGCACGCAGCACACCACGCAGCACAGCACACCACGCAGTACAACACACAACACACCACGCAGCACACCACGCAGTACAGCACCCACACACCACGCAGTACAACACACAACACACCACGCAGCACCCACACACCACGCAGTACAACACACAACACACCACGCAGCACACCACGCAGTACAGCACCCACACACCACGCAGTACAACACACCACGCAGCACAACACACAGCACACAGCACCCACACACCACGCAGTACAACACACAACACACCACGCAGCACACCACGCAGTACAGCACACCACGCAGTACAGCACACAACACACCACGCAGTACAACACACAACACACCACGCAGTACAACACACAACACACCACACAGCACACCACGCAGTACAACACACAACACACCATGCAGTACAACACACAACACACCACGCAGTACAACACACAACACACCACGCAGCACACCACGCGGTACAACACACAACACACCATGCAGTACAACACACAACACACCACGCAGTACAACACACAACACACCACGCAGCACACCACGCAGTACAGCACACAGCGCAGTACAGAACACCACACAGAACACCACACAGCACCCACATACCACGCAGCACACCACGCAGTACAGCACACAGCACACCACGCAGTACAGCACACCACACAGAACACCACACAGCACACCACACAGCACACCACGCAGTACAGCACACAGCACACCACGCAGTACAGCACACCACACAGAACACCACACAGCACACCACACAGCACACCACGCAGTACAGCACACCACGCAGTACACCACACAGCACACCACGCAGTACAGCACACAGCACAGAACACCACACAGCACACCACACAGCACACCACGCAGTACAGCACACAGAACACCACACAGCACACCACGCAGTACACCACGCAGTACAGCACACCACGCAGTACAACACACCACAACACACCACGCAGTACAGCACACAGTACAACACACAGCACACCACGCAGTACAACACACCACTCAGTACAACACACACCACACAGCACACCACGCAGGCAGTACAACACACAGCACACCACGCAGCACCCCACGCAGTACAACACACCACACAGCACAGCACACAGCACACCACACAGCACACCACGCAGCACACCACGCAGCACCCCACGCAGCACAGAACCCCACGCAGCACAGCACGCAGCACATCACGCAGCACCCCACGCAGCACCCCACGCAGCACAGCACCCCACGCATCACCCCACGCAGCACAGCACGCAGCACACCACGCAGCACAGCACCCCACGCAGCACACCACGCAGCACCCCACGCAGCACACCACGCAGCACAGCACCCCACGCAGCACCCCTCTCTCCCACGTGCGAGGGAGCTCACATTTGGTCAAACAATCCCTTCTCACAGCAGAATCCTGGACGAAGCAGAAGTCAAAACCCCATCCCGGGGCTCAGTGAGAGAGGCCTCCGATAGCGCGGGGCAGCGCTGTGATGCGACAGAAGGCGACTGAAATAAAAGCGGACACCAATGAAGTGTCGCCACTGATTGCGCGTTGTTAGTAAATTCGCTCAATGACTTAGCCCGCGGAATTGATCTGAACATTATTAATTACAAGATTATTCATTACAATCTTCCCCACGGCGCCGCGAGATCGGACATGGAAAGAAACAACTTTTTAATGGCCTAATGTTGTTTTGTCGTAGCGAATCAACAACATGGCAGTCTGTTGTAGTGTTAGAAGAGACTCGCGTTAAACATCTCATTTACAACCATTCACTTTGGCCTGCGCGAGTTCCACAGCAGCGTGGAGGCCGTGTCGCCGCTGGGGTGTGCGCGCTGCCCAGCGGAGTGACTCTCAGTCGTGAATGAGAGCGATAACAACAACACCACGAGAGAACCAAGGAGTCACAATGACGATGATGCGGTTCAGAGCGGCAACAGATCGCCGTTGGACTGGCGACAGAGTGGGACAAGCCCGAGGGAGGGGAGCGGAGCCTGCGAATCTCGTCGCTGAGACGGGGACACTGAAAGACTCCGTGGGCGCAGCGAGACGATCACCCCCGCTGATCAGGCGCAACTCCCCCCCCCGTGCCCTCCACCCCCCCCCCCGTGCCCTCCACCCCCCCCCCCCGTGCCCTCCACCCCCCCCCCCCCGTGCCCTCCACCCCCCCCCCCCGTGCCCTCCACCCCCCCCCCCCGTGCCCTCCACCCCCCCCCCCTCGTGCCCTCCACCCCCCCCCCCCGTGCCCTCCACCCCCCCCCCCCCCGTGCCCTCCACCCCCCCCCCCCCCGTGCCCTCCACCCCCCCCCCCGTGCCCTCCACCCCCCCCCCCCCGTGCCCTCCACCCCCCCCCCCCCGTGCCCTCCACCCCCCCCCCGTGCCCTCCACCCCCCCCCCCCCGTGCCCTCCACCCCCCCCATGAGCCCCCCAGGTGCGGCATCACGGCCGACGTGGACTCTGACAGGAGGTGGCGCTACTGCGCGCGGGCGCCGATCGCCGTGGCTGGAGGTGAGAGAGAGACGGGCGGGGGGGGGGACCCGCTCGAGGGGCGCCGGGGTCGTCTCGTTCCCCGGCTGAGATTTGAGTGCCACCTCCGCCCACCACCGCCTCCGCCCACCACCGCCTCCGCCCACCACCGCCTCCGCCCACCACCGCCTTCGCCCACCACCGCCACCTTTGCCCACCACCGCCTCCGCCCACCACCGCCTCCGCCCACCACCGCCTCCGCCCACCACCGCCTCCGCCCACCACCGCCTCCGCCCACCACCGCCTTCGCCCACCACCGCCTTCGCCCACCACCGCCTCCGCCCACCACCGCCTCCGCCCACCACCACCTTTGCCCAACACCACCTCCGCCCACCACCACCTTCGCCCACCACCACCTCCGCCCACCACCACCTCCGCCCACCACCACCTTCGCCCACCACCACCTTCGCCCACCACCACCTCCGCCCACCACCACCTCCGCCCACCACCACCTTCGCCCACCACCACCTTCGCCCACCACCACCACCACCTTCGCCCACCACCACCACCACCTTCGCCCACCACCACCTTTGCCCACCACCACCACCACCTTCGCCCACCACCACCTTCGCCCACCACCACCTCCGCCCACCACCACCACCACCTTCGCCCACCACCACCTCCGCCCACCACCACCTCCGCCCACCACCACCTTTGCCCACCACCACCTTCGCCCACCACCACCACCACCTTCGCCCACCACCACCTTTGCCCACCACCACCTCCGCCCACCACCACCTTCGCCCACCACCACCACCACCACCTTTGCCCACCACCACCTTCGCCCACCACCACCTTCGCCCACCACCACCTTTGCCCACCACCACCTTCGCCCACCACCACCACCACCACCACCACCACCTTTGCCCACCACCACCTTCGCCCACCACCACCACCACCACCACCACCACCTTTGCCCACCACCACCTTCGCCCACCACCACCTTCGCCCACCACCACCTTTGCCCACCACCACCTTCGCCCACCACCACCACCACCACCACCTTCGCCCACCACCACCTTTGCCCACCACCACCTCCGCCCACCACCACCTTCGCCCACCACCACCTCCGCCCACCACCACCTTCGCCCACCACCACCTTTGCCCACCACCACCTTTGCCCACCACCACCTCGCCCACCACCACCACCACCACCTTTGCCCACCACCACCTTCGCCCACCACCACCTTCGCCCACCACCACCACCACCACCACCTTTGCCCACCACCACCTTCGCCCACCACCACCTTCGCCCACCACCACCTTTGCCCACCACCACCTTCGCCCACCACCACCACCACCACCACCACCACCTTTGCCCACCACCACCTTCGCCCACCACCACACCACCACCACACCACCACCTTCGCCCACCACCACCTTTGCCCACCACCACCTTCGCCCACCACCACACCACCACCACCACCACCTTCGCCCAACCACCACCTTTGCCCACCACCACCTCCGCCCACCACCACCTTCGCCCACCACCACCTCCGCCCACCACCACCTTCGCCCACACCACCTTCGCCCACCACCACCTTCGCCCACCACCACCTTCGCCCACCACCACCTCCGCCCACCACCACCTCCGCCCACCACCACCTTCGCCCACCACCACCTTCGCCCACCTCCGCCCACCACCACCTCCGCCCACCACCACCTTCGCCCACCACCACCTTCGCCCACCACCACCTCCGCCCACCACCACCTCCGCCCACCACCACCTCCGCCCACCACCACCTCCGCCCACCACCACCTTCGCCCACCACCACCTCCGCCCACCACCACCTTCGCCCACCACCACCTCCGCCCACCACCACCTTCGCCCACCACCACCTTTGCCCACCACCACCTCCGCCCACCACCACCTCCGCCCACCACCACCTTCGCCCACCACCACCTTTGCCCACCACCACCTTTGCCCACCACCACCTCCGCCCACCACCACCTCCGCCCACCACCACCTCCGCCCACCACCACCTTCGCCCACCACCACCTCCGCCCACCACCACCTTTGCCCACCACCACCTCCGCCCACCACCACCTTTGCCCACCACCACCACCACCTTTGCCCAACACCACCTCCGCCCACCACCACCTTCGCCCACCACCACCTTTGCCCACCACCACCACCACCTTTGCCCAACACCACCACCACCTCCGCCCACCACCACCTCCGCCCACCACCACCTTTGCCCACCACCACCTTTGCCCACCACCACCACCACCTTCGCCCACCACCACCTTCGCCCACCACCACCTTCGCCCACCACCACCTTCGCCCACCACCACCTTCGCCCACCACCACCACCTCCGCCCACCACCACCTCCGCCCACCACCACCACCACCTTCGCCCCCCACCACCACCACCTTCGCCCACCACCACCTCCGCCCACCACCACCTTCGCCCACCACCACCTCCGCCCACCACCACCACCACCTTCGCCCCCCACCACCACCACCTTCGCCCACCACCACCTCCGCCCACCACCACCTTCGCCCACCACCACCTCCGCCCACCACCACCTCCGCCCACCACCACCTTCGCCCACCACCACCACCACCTTTGCCCAACACCACCTCCGCCCACCACCACCTTCGCCCACCACCACCTTCGCCCACCACCACCTCCGCCCACCACCACCTCCGCCCACCACCACCTTCGCCCACCACCACCTTCGCCCACCACCACCTCCGCCCACCACCACCTCCGCCCACCACCACCTTCGCCCACCACCACCTTCGCCCACCACCACCTCCGCCCACCACCACCTCCGCCCACCACCACCTCCGCCCACCACCACCTTCGCCCACCACCACCTCCGCCCACCACCACCTCCGCCCACCACCACCTTCGCCCACCACCACCTTCGCCCACCACCACCTCCGCCCACCACCACCTCCGCCCACCACCACCTTCGCCCACCACCACCACCACCTTTGCCCAACACCACCTCCGCCCACCACCACCTTCGCCCACCACCACCTTTGCCCACCACCACCTTTGCCCAACACCACCTCCGCCCACCACCACCTTTGCCCACCACCACCTTTGCCCACCACCACCACCACCTTCGCCCACCACCACCTTCGCCCACCACCACCTTCGCCCACCACCACCTTCGCCCACCACCACCACCTCCGCCCACCACCACCTCCGCCCACCACCACCACCACCTTCGCCCCCCACCACCACCACCTTCGCCCACCACCACCTCCGCCCACCACCACCTTCGCCCACCACCACCTCCGCCCACCACCACCACCACCTTCGCCCCCCACCACCACCACCTTCGCCCACCACCACCTCCGCCCACCACCACCTTCGCCCACCACCACCTTCGCCCACCACCACCTTCGCACACCACCACCACCTTTCACCACCTTCGCCCACCACCACCTTCGCGTCCCCCCACCTTCACCGGAGTTCCCGGCCACAGCTTCCCGCCAGCGACGCGCGCGCCCCGCACGCCGGGGATGCCGAGTGGGCGGCGGCGGCGTGCCACCTGCCGCCTGCTGCCTGTGTTGTAGGGTTGGCTGCGTGAGTCTGCCGACTCGAGTGTCTGCGATGTTCCGTTCGTTCAGCACGGCTCCTACATCCACCGGTCATTCTTGTAAAGCGGCTTAAGGCTGAACGTTGCTTATGCACGTCAACAATAACAATCAATCAATCAAAACACAAAGATACTTTCTCCCAACTGTCACGTGCCTCTGATTTCTAACCGTGATTGTATCCTCTCGTTAAGATGATTACAATTCTCAAGGCAACAATGACGACTACGACGATGATGAAGAGGACGATTCGAACGTGCTGAATGTGTTGGATCACTCCAGTAAAGGTAATGGCCCATCATAGCAGGCAAAGACAAAGATCCCCTGTATAGCTTGAAGGCCGGCACGGCACACGAGGGGGTGGGTGGCCAACAACCACGCCCGGTCGCCTTTGTCTCCCCAGTGGCGATGTTTACTACACACCTCACCAGGTACTGATTTGAGTCTGAGTCGACCTAGGGGAGGCCGAGGACTGGTTCAGATAATCGTCACTGGTGTTGGTCGTGAGCGGGAATCGAATCCGGGTTACAGGGTTCGTAGCGCAAGTTCTAACCACTCCCCATATCATAGCAGGCACACACACACAGACACACAGACACATACACGCAGACACATACACACAACAACAACCGCCATTCACCACTAAGTGGCAGTGACGTCACCACGACGCTTGTGCCAGGTCATGTGCACCTTGAGACCACGTGAAGTGTGGGACGCCCACTGGCAGGAGGTCGCGGGGCAGACCCAGGTGCCACGGGTCGACTGACTGAGATAACTGGCTGATGCACCACCTGTACCCCCTACTGTACCAACTTGCTGTGCTTTAGCCACCCGGTGCTCCGATCGTTGTTGTGAGCGTCGCACCTCCGCCCTCCGTTGTTGTTGGAGGGCGACTGCCTCCAACTGCCCAGTAGCGTCCTTCACGAGCCTCCTCCACAGAGGCCGATCTTGACACCGCTGGTACCAGTCATCGGCAAGTCCACTCAGCTCCACGCCCTCCTGTACCACGTCACTCCATCTCTTCTCCAGCCCGTAACGCGCCCGTTTAGCCCCCTCGATCCGGCCGAACAAAAGCTGTTTAGGCATGCGGTGGCTGGGCATGCGGGCTCCATGACCCAGCCAACGCAGCCTTGCCTGCCGGAGGAGCTCATCGATGGGACTTTTTCCAGATCTTTCAAGGATTTGTGAGCTCACATGATCCAGCCTGGTTAAACCCAGGATGGATCGTAGGCAGGCCAGCCTAAATGTTTCTAACCGGCGAAGATGTTCCATTAGGGGGGTCCACGTTTCGCAAGCGTAGAGAAGGGAGGGAATGACCGTGGCCGAGAAGACCTGAAGCTTTGTGCGGAGTGACAGACCAGGTAGCTTCCACACAGCGTTACGCAACCAATGAAAATATATTGCCGCTCGACTGATTCGGAGTGAGACATCTGCTGTTAAACCGGAGCCAGTCATAAGCACACTGCCAAGGTATGGGAAACTCTCCACTCTCTCCACAACTGCCCCATCACCGATTGGGAGTTGTGGGGCTGATGGTAAGGCCCCACCTCTTAGTGGTACGCTCCAGTCTTAGCAGCAGCGTCTCCAACTCCTCCTCTGAATGAGCAGCTATTACCAAATCATCGGCATACATAACGTGGTTGACCAATAGGGAGCCACCCCTTGATCGCACCCGGGCATTGATCAGCCTCCCATTATATCTGTACCAAATGGAAATTCCCCCGGTACAGCTATTGAAGGCTTCACGAACTACGTGGTCAAAATAGATGTTAAATAATGTGGGAGCCAGAGGACATCCCTGTCGCACCCCAAGGTGTAGAGGGAAAGGCTCCGACTCCCGGCCACGTAGTTTTACCCGGGCCCGCTCACCATCATGAAGGTCCTTAATGATCGTGAGCAGAGGGTCAGGGACTTCGAAAGCATGAAGAACAACCCAGAGCCCAGACCTACTGATGGTATCATAGGCCTTGACCAGGTCAATAAAGCAGATATGTAGGTCTTGTTGGAATTCCCTATACCTCTGCTGTAGCAGACGGACAGAAAATATGGCATCTGTGCAGGACCGCCCTTTCCTGAAACCGCATTGGGGCTCTGCAAGCCTCTCCTCAGCGTGCCTAGCAAGGCGATGTTGAATAATCCTTGCCAGGACCTTTCCCGGCATACTGAGGAGTGAGATACCCCTGTAGTTGTTACAGTTTGTGTGGTCCCCCTTCTTAAAGAGGGGGACCACCAGGGCATCCTTCCAATCCTGCGGAACCCGTCCAGTGGTCCAGACTATTGTTATGATACACTATGGGAACCTCATTTGCCAGTAAAAATATGATAATTGGTTTTTACCCTCCTATCTGGCAACAAAACTGACACCTTTTTACTGGCAAATGAGGTTCCCATAGTGTAGATGCTTGCCCCAAGCTCTCATACTCTGATGGTGCATTGTCCTTGAGTTGTGCGCCTTTTGGCGTCATCTGGTCCAACCCATGTGAGACTAGGCTCTAAGGAAAGCTGTCTCGGGTGTGGACCAATCAACTTCAAGGATAGTGCACATTATCAGAGTTATGTCTTTTGTTTGTATTATGACTGCAGGTATTGCGGTCTATACAAACATGACTCCTTGTAAAAAGGTGTCAGTTTTGTTGCCAGATAGAAGGGTAAAAAAACAATTATCATATTGTTATGATGTCATATAGGGCAGTTTGTGTACAAACGCCACCCTCCCTCACCATTTCTCTTGGGAGATCATCTCTGCCCGGTGCCTTTCCTGGTCTCAGACTCCGGATCGCCTTCAGTACTTCCTCAACAGATGGCACGCCCATTTATCCTCGACATCAGGAGGAGTGGGGGACGATGCCAACCCCCCAGCTGCAAGCGATGATGAAATTCTCGCTTGCAACTTTCATCAGCCAACTGAGACCAGGCCACTTTAGGTTTGAATGGGGTCCTGGGTGTACACCCACCACCGGAGTGTAAGAATGGCAGGCGCATCTTACAGATGACTAGTCGATGGTCAGAGTGCAGATCAGCTCCACAGTAGGTCCTGGTGTCAAGGACATGGGCTCGCATCGGCTGGTCCGTCATTATGTAGTCCAGCAGAAGTTCTTTCTTGGACCCGGCATGTATCCATGATGTTGTGTGGATGCGCCGATGCCGGAAGAGCATGTTGGTAATTACAAGCCCATGGGCTGCACAAAAATCTAGCAGCCTCCTACCGTTGTTATGGAGCTGATCTGGCCCATGCCTTCCAATCACTCCAGACCAGGTGCCAGCATCATGACCAACTCGGGCATTGAAGTCACCCAACAAGATGACTCTGTCCTGAGTGGCCACTTTAGCCAGCACCTGTGACAGGAGGTCATAGAAGGCATCTGACTCATCGGCTTTGTCTGCATCCCTCCATGTTCGTCTTCGGTGGGAGCATAAGTAACCACGACCACCACTCCTCGCCTCCGGTTGATGGGAAGGGGAGCCTAGTAGCCTGGGGCTTACAGCTTCCCACACCTCACCGCCACGCTCCCACGCCCCCTTCATTCTTTTGTTCAGAAGAAGAGCCACACCCTGTTGTTTGGCAGTCTCCTGCCCCGAGTAGAGCAGGAGCCAGAACCAGTCCACCGGACCTCCTGAATGCCACAGAGATCCAGGCGGTACCGGTCCAGCTCCCAACAGAGGAGTGACAGCCTCTCCTCCGCAGTAAGCATTCGAACATTCCACGTGGCCACACAAAGTGGCTTTTCGTTGTTTCTGGAGGAGCCCCGAGGATGATGATTCAATTTCCTGGCTCTGCCAATTGGGGTTTGGCCAGGAGACGCCATAGACGCCTGTCCCTCCGGGGCCTCCGGCACAAGCGAATTAGTTCCATATTTATGTTTAAGTCGTGGTTTCGTGGTAATGAATTGAAGGTGGAGGGGTTACCAGCCACTCGCACCCATCCAGAGCCCCCGATTAGCCACTGTGGTGGTCACAGACGCCATGAAGGGAGAGGCCAATGGGCATTGGCCCTCCCCCCACAGCACTGTCCACGTCCGGCACCGCGAGGAGGTAGGGGGTTGTTTTGCCGGACATACACAGACACATACACACAGACACATACACACAGACACATACACACAGACACATACACACAGACACATACACACAGACACACACACACAGACACACACAGCCACACACACACAGACACACACACATACACACAGACACATACACACAGACACACAACTCTTGAGTTCAGATGGTGACCTCGGAGGAGGATCACAACGAATCATCCCCTAATTTTTGGAGTTAATCTTTTCATTTTTTACCAAGTAAGGCCCACTGAGCTGTGTAGCTCTTTTTTTCAGAAGCGACCTGGGCACAAATGATAGCTCAAGGAAATGGCTTATCATGTGGCAATGTTATAGCAGCCAAATGCTCTAAACGCATGTTGATTCTAAATTTGAGGACCACGAGAAAAATCCACGCATCCACGGGGAGAAACATGCAAACAAATATTCAGCAGTTGTCAGGGTCGAACCCACGACCTCCTGTACACAAGGCGAAGTGGTAAACATCTCCTCGCCACTGCGGCGCCCCGGGGATCGGGGGCTCCTCTGGGCAGACCCCCGCCTCCTCCTCTTTGTCTTTATTTGTAATGGAGCATCCCAGCCGTCCCTGTGGTTTGTGATCGCGTGCAGACAAGCGGAGGGCGAGCAGCGGGAGGGTGTAGGTCAGGGTGCAGGTGACGGCGGGGTGTGTGTCAGGGTGTGTGTCAGGATGTGGGTCACGGCAGGGTGTGTGTCAGGGTGTTGTGTCAGGGTGTGTGTCAGGATGGTGGGGTCAACGGCAGGTGGGGTCGGGAAGTGTGTCAGGGTGTAGTGGTCAGGGTGTGTGTCAGGGTGTGGGTCACGGCAGGGTGTGTGTCAGGGTATGTGTGTCAGGGTGTGTGTCAGGGTGTGGGTCACGGCAGGGCGATGTGGCCGGGATGGTTCACGGCAGGGTAGGGTGTGGGTCACGGCAGGGTGTGTGTCAGGGTGTGTGTCAGGGTGTGTGTCAGGGTGTGGGTCACGGCAGGGCGATGTGTCAGGGTGTGTGTCAGGGTGTGTGTCAGGGTGTGGGTCACGGCAGGGTGTGTGTCAGGGTGTGTGTCAGGGTGTGTGTCAGGGTGTGGGTCACGGCAGGGCGATGTGTCAGGGTGTGGGTCACGGCAGGGTGTGTGTCAGGGTGTGTGTCAGGGTGTGTGTCAGGGTGTGGGTCACGGCAGGGCGATGTGTCAGGGTGTGTGTCAGGGTGTGTGTCAGGGTGTGTGTCAGGGTGTGGGTCACGGCAGGGCGATGTGTCAGGGTGTGGGTCACGGCAGGGTGTGTGTCAGGGTGTGTGTCAGGGTGTGTGTCAGGGTGTGGGTCACGGCAGGGCGATGTGTCAGGGTGTGGGTCACGGCAGGGTGTGTGTCAGGGTGTGGGTCACGGCAGGGTGTGTGTCAGGGTGTGGGTCACGGCAGGGTGTGGGTTACGGCAGGGTGTGTGTCAGGGTGTGTGTCAGGGTGTGGGTCACGGCAGGGTGTGTGTCAGGGTGTGGGTCATGGCAGGGTGTGGGTTACGGCAGGATGTGTGTCAGGGTGTGGGTCACGGCAGGGTGTGTGTCAGGGTGTGTGTCAGGGTGTGTGTCAGGGTGTGTGTCAGGGTGTGGGTCACGGCAGGGTGTGTGTCAGGGTGTGGGTCACGGCAGGGTGTGTGTCAGGGTGTGGGTCACGGCAGGGTGTGTGTCAGGGTGTGTGTCACGGCAGGGTGTGTGTCAGGGTGTGTGTCAGGGTGTGGGTCATGGCAGGATGTGTGTCAGGGTGTGGGTCACGGCAGGGTGTGTGTCAGGGTGTGGGTCACGGCAGGGTGTGTGTCAGGGTGTGTGTCAGGGTGTGGGTCACGGCAGGGTGTGTGTCAGGGTGTGTGTCACAGCCGTTACACTCACCAGGGGTCGCATTACAGTCGCCAGGTGCTGAGTCCCCTCGTGCTGCACTGGGCCATCTGCCCCTGGGGGTGCCCTCGGCGAGACCACACAGCAGCAATCACCGCCACTCGCAGGTCAGGCGCCGAGACACCGTGTGGCGCATGGAGACAGCTGCCAGTGGGGGTGCACTTTGAATGTCTCCCTGATGAGTGAGGTGCGACTCTCCTCAGGTATCTGCACGTGATGTACGATATCGTGTGCGCATCGCTTTAATGAATGGAAATGTTATAATAATGTAAAGACACAAATCATAGTAGTGTGATTGTGGCCATGCAACCCAAAGAGTAAACCCACATCGATTGATAGAGACACGTAGAGTTATACAGAGACCCATAGAGATACAGAGACATATAGATATACATAGAGACTCAGAGACACATAGAGACTCAGAGACACATAGAGATACATAGAGAATCAGAGACACATAGAGATACAGAGACACATAGAGATACATAGAGACTCAGAGACACATAGAGATACATAGAGACTCAGAGACGCATAGAGATACATAGAGACTCAGAGACACATAGAGATACATAGAGACTCGGAGACACATAGAGATACAGAGACATATAGATATACATAGAGACTCGGAGACACATAGAGATACAGAGACATATAGATATACATAGAGACTTAGAGACACATAGAGATACAGAGACACATAGAGATACATAGAGACTCAGAGACACATAGAGATACATAGAGACTCGGAGACACATAGAGATACAGAGACATATAGATATACATAGAGACTCGGAGACACATAGAGATACAGAGACATATAGATATACATAGAGACTTAGAGACACATAGAGATACAGAGACACATAGAGATACATAGAGACTCAGATACACATAGAGACACATAGAGATACATAGAGACTCAGAGATACATAGAGATACAGAGACATATAGATATACATAGAGACTCAGATACACATAGAGATACAGAGACACATAGAGACTCAGAGACACATAGAGATACATAGAGACTCAGAGACACAGAGATACAGAGACACATAGAATTACGTTAAAGCCAGGCCACAATGGTGCAATTGTGGCCATGCAACTCGCACTGTGGACCGTGTAGTCAACCGGCTGTGGTCTGCGCCCCTTCAATGGAGGAAGAAGAGCGACACGACACGAACTCTCTCTCTGCTGATGCTCTCTCTGTCTCTCTCTGTCTCTCTCTCTCTCATCGTGACGAGTAGCAGCATCTGACCTCGACATTGGCATCGAGATCCTGGACCACAGCGCTGTTGCTGCTGCCACCATCGCGCACCAGAGCAGATGAGTTCAACACCGTCTTTGTTGAAGAGGGTGTATCTGTGTGCGTGTGTGCGTGTGTGCGTGCGTGTTAACGTAGACCGCCCCTGCAAGGGGATGACGTGTCTGTTTGGAGGGGTCTGCAAAGTGGAAGTGGGGCGCCCTGGGCGGAACGGAACGGGCGCGGAACCGGTCTGCATGTGCCGCCCACCCTTCCATGGGAAAAACTGCCACATGGGTGAGCCGATCACAACCACCTCCACTACGTCCATACGTCCACCACCACCTCTCCCACAACCTCCACAATCACCACCTCCACAATCACCACCTCCACCACGTCTACCATCACCTCCACAACAACCATCTGCACACTTCCACAACCACCACCTCCACTACTACCACCACCACCTCCACAACCAGCAGCACCTCCACAACCAGCACCACCGCCACCTCCACTGCAACCACTCCCACCTCAACCACCATCACCACTTCCAACACCACCAAATCTGTCCACAATGCTGCGTGGCCTTCAACGACAACACAAACCCCCTCTCTCGTCCATCACAGCTGGCAGCTGTGATACCGGTGCTGTTTGTTGCTGTCCCCTCGATGTTGTGGCTCTTTGGTCCGTGTTCAGCGACTGTGTTTACATATATATTTTTTAACTAAACAATTTTTTATTTTACCTCCTAAGACCCGCTGAGCTGCTATATTAGCTCTTTTTCAGAAGCGGCCTTGCTATCATTAGTGACAGCTCAACGAAGTGGCTTATCATATGGAAATTAATAGCAGCCAAATACTCTGTAAACGCGTGACATTGATTCTAAATGTGGAGAGAAAAACCGGAGAGACCGGAGAAAAAATCCACGCGACCACGGGGAGAGACACGCAAACTCCAAATATACAGCAGCGGGCGTCAGGGTCGGGATCAAACCCTCGACCTCCTGTGCACCAGGCGAGGTAGTTAACATCTGACCACCGTGGCGCTCACTAATACATTTCTAAAATCTAAATAAAAAATAGTAACAACACGCCGCGCGCGTAGTTGCATGAACGTCATCTTTGGGAGCCATTCCCTGAACACACTGGGGTGGGGGGGGGGTGCCGCTCGCTCTCTTCGGCACCCGTCCGGCCGGACGTTGTGCCCGTGGCGTGAGCCGCGAGCCCCCTCCGCCGCTTGCCTTGCAGTGAGGAACCCGTGCCGGCGAGGGACGTGCCACTTCAGAGGGGCCTGCCTGCTCCGCTTGGACGACCCGGCACGGCCCAAGTGCCGGTGCCAGCTGGGTTTCTGGGGCTCGCACTGCGGGAAGAGCGAGTCCGTCACCCCCTCCAACTCCACCTCCACCGTCCCCCCACTTGGGTCGCCCGCGTGGGTCGCCAACGTGAGCGACCCCTTCCCTGGCTCCGCAGTCCAGAGAAACCCGTGCGTGCAGCCCAACCCTTGCCTCAACGGCGGCGCCTGCTTCGTGGTGCGGGACAAGTGGCAACGCAGTGCCGTCACGTGCACCTGCCCTAGCAAGTTCCACGGCTTCCACTGCAACTTACGTGAGCCACGCCGCGCACGCACGTGTGTGTGTGTGCACGTGCGTGTGTGCACATGCGTGTTTGTGCGCACGTGTGAGCGCGTGTGTGAGCGTGTGTGTGCGTGTAGGACAGTACGTGAGTGGGGAGTGGTAGTGTATCGATTCCCGCTCACGACCAACATCAGTGGCGATTATCTGAACAGATCCTGGTCTTCCATTAGGTCGACTCCGCCTCAAATTAGCACCTGGTGCGGTGTGCAAACATCACCGCTGGGGAGACAAAGGCGACCGGGCGTGGTGCTGACCACCCACCCCCTCGTGTGCCATGTCGGCCTTCATAGGTGGTCGCTAACAGCACTTGTTAAGGCTACACGTGGGTTCTTTGTCTTTGATCCACAGTGAAGGGCGACTGTTACCAAGGGAAGGGCTCCAACTATCGTGGCACCATGAGCGTCACGGAGGGCAGGAGGCGGTGCCTTCACTGGAACTCCCCGCTGGTTCTACGGCAGCAACACAGCGCGTTCAGCGCCCAGGCACGGGACTCTGGGATCGGAGACCACAACTACTGCCGGTGCAATCACGCCACACAGCCACACCACACCGCACAGGGTCGGCCACAACGCACAATCCTGGCCACACCGGACACACCGGACACACCACACAGCTTGGCCACGCCACACAGCCCGGTCATACTGCAGAGTTTTGCCGCACCACACAACGGGATCACACCGCGTAGAACGGCCACACCGTATAGTCTCGGCCACACCGCACAACGTCGGCCACCCCGCACAGCCCCGGCCACACCGTACAGCCAACGTCACTTTGCACACCACAATGGGCAGAGCGTCACACACGCGCGTGCGCACGATGCGGCTGCGTACGGATCGGCGGGGGCCGACGCGGCGGCTGCACATTGGAGCGGCTCGCCGTTCCGCGCTCGTTCCCCGTGCCGCCGCTCGCCGCGGTCGCTCCCACGGGGACCAGAGCGCCGTGCGCCACGGCCGGACGGCGCCGCACGCAATAATTTTGTTTTCACATTCATGAAAAGAGCTTCATGGCTCATCGGATTCTTCCGGGATCAGTGTAGATTCTGTGGCGAGGGAACACTCGACGGGCAGCCATAGGAGGGAGGACTGCCCGTCTGGAAGGTTCCTTGGGCCCGGGTGCAGGATATGGATGGCTGCGATTGGCGGTGGCCACGCTGCAACGTGGCTGCCCGTAACCCGGTGCTGCGGAGGCAGCAGCGAGGGTTGGTGGATCGCACACGGATGTTTTTGTCAAACTTCCTTCCCGTGGACTCCCTCGTGACCCGGAGTCCCCCCCCTCGTGTCTCGGTGCAGGAACCCCGATGGCAACACCAGGCCCTGGTGCTACTTTATAAACAGGGACAGTCGCAAGGTCGACAGGGCTCACTGCAAGCTGCAGCAGTGCCAAGGTCTCACACGCAGCATCGCGTCGCCCGTTCTCGCGATATGTGCACCTAGCCTGGTACGAGGGCTGTGGTGACGTCACCGCAGGTTCGTCGTTTCTCGGCCGCAAATGAGCACTGGGGAGGCAAAGGCGGCCGGGTGTGGTAGTGGCTGCATCATCCCCTCGTGTGCCGTGTTGGCCTTCATGATAGCGCCTTCATGATAGCTGCTACTCGCTAAGAGCACTTGCCCCAACAACCTGGTTAAGGCTATACGAGTATCTTTGTCTCGTCGGTTCTTTACCTGGTTTGGGACCAGAAGAACCGAAGACTGTTTGTTGTGCAGGCTATGACGTGTGCTGTGCGTGCATTTGCTGATTGGAGAGGATGTGGAGCTGAGCGGACTTGCCGGTGACAGGTACCAGCAGTGTCAAGTTCGACCTCCATGTATTGAGGAGGCTCGTGAAGGACGCTGCTACTGGGCAGTTGGAGGCAGTCGCCCTCCAGCGATAGCGGAGGGCAGAGGAGTGACGCTCACAACAACGAGCGGAGCGCCGAACGGCTAAAATGCAGCAAGTTGGCACAGTAGGGGGCACAGGTGGTGCATCTGCCGGTTATCTCAATTAGTCAGCCCGTGGCACCTGCTGGGTCTGTCCCGTGACCTCCTGCCAGCATCACGAGCCTTCGACACTTTACCGTGATAGCCTCAAAGTGCACTTAGCGCTGTGGTCACCGCCGCTTAGTGGCGAACGGCTGTTGTTGGTGGTAGTGTAGTGGGGCCAGCGCGCTGCGCGATGAACCTGGCGACCTGGGTTCGATTCCCGCTCAGTGACAATAATTGGAACCGATCCTGGGCCTCCACTAGGTCGAACTCAGCCGCAAACGGGTAGCTGGTGCGGTGTGTAAACATCGCAACTGGGGAAGACAAAGGCGGCTGGGCGTGGTGCTGGCCACTCACCCCCTCGTGCGCCGTGCCGGCCTTAATAGGTGCTCGCTAACAGCACTTGCCCCCAAACAGTCTGTTAAGGCTACACGGGGGATCTTTGCCTTTTTGTCTTCGTGAAGGGCAGAAGCAGCAGGGGTCTCTTGGCGACGGCGCGGCCGCCACGTGCGGGCGCACGTGGCTGGGGACGCTGCAGGCGCGCGTGGTGAAGGGCCGCGACGCCGGCCTGGGCACCCGGCCCTGGCAGGCCTCGGTGCAGCTGCGTGGCGAGGGGGCGCCGGTGCACCGGTGCGGCGGGGTGCTGGTGCACCCCTGCTGGGTGCTCACCGCCGCCCACTGCTTCTCTCCCAGGTGCACGCCGCGCCTCGGCCCCAGCTGCTCGCGGCGGACAGAGTGCGAGAGACCAATGGAGCAGAGCGGCCAGCACCTGATCTAAAATAACTAAACTTTTTTTCGATTTAAAGCTTTCGTGACTGCAGGGATTCATCTTCTTGGTTCTTTCGGTAAAGTCACGTAGAAGGGAAGTAATAAAATAATAAAAATAAAACATAATAAAATAAAATAATTCTCACGACGTTTCGGCTACAACGCAAGCAGCCGTCTTCAGGTGAAGAATGAGACACTACCAAGCTAGGAGCTTATATATAAGCTGGGTTGGAGGTGGAAGAGCGCCTTAACAAAAGGAATGTTCCATGAATATGCTAAATTCCTCTTCCTATGCACATTTTATTTTATTATGTTTTATTTTTATTATTTTATTACTTCCCTTCTACGTGACTTTACCGAAAGAACCAAGAAGATGAACTAAACTTTTTATTTTTATTTTTACCAGATAAGGCCCAATGAGCTGTTTTTAGCTCTTTTTCAGAAGCGAGTGATAGGACAACGACGTTGCTTCATCATCAAGAGGAAATTTATAGCAGCAGCCAAATACCCTGAACGTGTGACATTGATTCTAAATGTGGAGCGGAAAACCGGAGGACCCAGAGAAAAATCCACACGACCACGGGGAGAAAGAGAGACACGCAAACTGCAGTTATGCAGTAAGCGTGAGGGTCGGGATCGAACCAAAGACCTCCTGCATACCAGGCGAGGTAGTTAACATCTCCTAGCAATTGCAGCGCCCCTCCGCTGTCGAAGCCCTACCCACAATCGAGCCAAATCACCAACAGCGTTGCTCAGATAATTCTGAAGGCCACGATCCACTCGGGCAACTTCAGGGGAATCACCATCGGTAACCGTCACCGGTAATGGTTGCCAGGGCGGCATTTTCCATTGTAAACATCTCGTTGAAGCTTCCAATCCGGTCGGAGGCAGAGGGTCACGACACGGTTGCCTGATGGCATCGCCCCTTCCGTGACCTGAAAAGAATGGATGAAGGGGGTAAAGCCTTCTGATTCATTGTTCTTCTGATAAGTAACGGCTTTTATTGACTGACTGACTGACTGGCTGACTGACTGGTGATAATGAACTGCGTAGAGAAATGACCGTCACTTCGTCACCAGCACTGGGACCTACCTGGCGCTGTGCCGTGTGCAGGAAGCCTGCGGGCAGCTACTTGGTTCGTCTGGGCAAGAGGAAGCTCCACACTCACGAGAGCGGCGAGCAGGACTTCAACGTCTCCAAGGTCATCGTGCATCCCAACTACTCCGAGAGGACTCACGACGCCGACATAGGTAGGCGCTGCGCTTGGCACGGGGACGACGCTGGCACGGTGAAGATGCTGGTACAGGGACGACGCTGGCACGGTCCGCACGGCTGTCTGTTTGCGTGCGCTTCTGCGCCGTGCGCTTCTGCGCCGTGCGCTTCTGCGCCGTGCGCTTCTGCGCTGTGCGTGGTGGTGGGGGAGCGGTGGCGCAGCGGTCAGCGTAGGCCGTGCTACGTGGGCCGGTGACCTGAGTTCGATTCCAGCTCACGCCACAAACATCGGTGATGAATATCTCAACCGGTCCTGGGCCTCCCCCGAGGTCTACTCGTCCTCTTATGATTCCCCGGTGCGGGGTGTAAACATGAACATTTTGCAGACAAAGGCGGTCGGGTGTGGTGCTGGCCACCCACCGCCTCGTGCGCCGTGCCGGACTTAATAGGTGCTCGCTAACAGCACTTGCCCCTACAGTCTGTTAAAGCTACACGGGGGATCTTTGTGTTTGTGTGCGCGTGTGTATGTGTGCGCGCGTGCGTGCGCAGCGCTACTGCGTCTGTGAATAATAGGTGCTCGCTAACAGCACTTGCCCCTACAGTCTGTTAAAGCTACACGGGGGATCTTTGTGTGTGTGTGCGCGTGTGTGCGTGTGTATGTGTGCGCGCGTGCGTGCACAGCGCTACTGCGTCTGTGAATAATAGGTGCTCGCTAACAGCACTTGCCCCTACAGTCTGTTAAAGCTACACGGGGGATCTTTGTGTGTGTGTGCGCGTGTGTGCGTGTGTATGTGTGCGCGCGTGCGTGCACAGCGCTACTGCGTCTGTGGGGGCACGCGGGCGAGTGTGCCCATCGCACGACCGTGGAGGTGGTGCCGGTCTGCCTGCCCGAGGCCGCCGAGCCGGCGCGGCCCGGGACGCTGTGCCACATCTCCGGCTGGGGCACCGTGGGATACCACGGGGGTCAGTGCACCACCACGGCCATCCACACAGAGCAGCCGGGACAGGATTGCGGCGTGTGTGCGTGCGTGGGGTGTGTGTGTGTGCGTGCGTGGGGTCATCTGTAAGATGCGCCTGCCATTCTTCCACTCCGGAGGTGGGTGTACACCCAGGACCCCATTCCAACCAAAAGTGGCCTGGTCTCAGTTAGCTGATGAAAGTTTCAAGCGAGAATTTCATCATCGCTTGCAGCTGGGGTTGGCATCGTCCCCCACTCCACCTGATGTCGAGGGTAAATGGGCGAGGTTTAAGACTGTGACTCATTCAGCTGCAATGGCTGCTTTGGGTATGCGGTCCAGACCTCCCCAGAAACCCTGGCTGACAGAGGAGGTGTTCAGGTTAATTGAGAAAAAGCGACAGGCCCACTCTCATCGCCTACAGCATCCCACGTCAGGGAATGAGGAGGTTTACCGCAGCCTTCGCTCGGAGGTTCGGAGAGCCATAAGGCGCTGCAAGGATGGGTGGTGGTCGCGGGTTGCTGAGGAGATGGAGTCTGCCTCAGTGGCCCGCGATCACAAATCACTATTTAACTCCATCAAAAAAGTAACCTGCAGTGCCACACCTATTACCATCATTAGGGGAAAAAACGGTGATCCAATCTCCGACCCCCAGGAACAGGTTTGCAGATTTGCTGAGCATTTCTGTGAGGTCCTAGGGGAGGGGAAATCCCTCAGCCAGGAAAACATCATGGCACAAAGTGGGGATAACCCTGCTGAGGCTGCGGTGCCTCAAATATTGGAAGAGGTCACCCCCTGTGAGTGGCTGGCTGAGGTGCCAGCTGTTGAGGAAGTACTGAAGGCGATCCGGAGTCTGAGACCAGGAAAGGCACCGGGCAGAGATGATCTCCCAAGCTAAATGCTGAGGGAGGGTGGCGTTTGTGCACAGACTGCCCTATATGACATTATAACAACAGTCTGGACCGCTGGACGGGTACCGCAGGATTGGAAGGATGCCCTGGTGGTCCCCCTCTTTAATAAGGGGGACCGCACAGACTGTGACAACTACAGGGGCATCTCACTCCTCAGTGTGCCGGGAAAGGTCCTGGCAAGGATTATTCAACATCGCCTTGCTAGGCACGCTGAGGAGAGGCTTGCGGAGCCCCAATGCGGTTTCAGGAAAGGGCAGTCCTGCACAGATGCCATATTTTCTGCCCGTCTGCTACAGCAGAGGTGTAGGGAATTCCAAAAAGACCTACATCTCTGCTTTATTGACCTGGTCAAGGCCTATGATACCATCAGTAGGCCTGGGCTCTGGGTTGTTCTTCGTGCTTTCGGAGTCCCTGACCCTCTGCTCACGATCATTAAGGACCTTCATGATGGTGAGCGGGACCGGGTAAAACTACGTGGCCGGGAGTCGGAGCCTTTCCCTGTACACCTTGGGGTGCGACAGGGATGTCCTCTGGCTCCCACATTATTTAACATCTATTTCGACTGCGTAGTTCGTGAAGCCTTCAATAGCTGTACCAGGGGAATTTCCATTTGGTACAGATATAATGGGAGGCTGATCGACGCCCGGGTGCGATCAAGGGATGGCTCCCTATTGGTCAACCACGTTATGTATGCCGATGATTTGGTAATAGCTGCTCATTCAGAAGAGGAGTTGGAGACGCTGCTGCTGAGACTGGAGCGTGCCACTAAGAGGTGGGGCCTTACCATCAGCCCCACCAAAACTAAGCACCTGCCTGGGTATTTTGTACCATCGGACACTCCACCCCCACAACTCCCAATCGGTGATGGGGCAGTTGTGGAGAGAGTGGAGAGTTTCCCATACCTGGGCAGTGTGCTTATGACCGGCTCCAGTTTATCAGCAGAGGTCTCACTCCGAATCAGTCGAGCGACAATATCTTTTCATCGGTTGCGTAACGCTGTGTAGAAGCTACCTGGTCTGTCGCTCCGCACGAAGCTTCAGGTCTTCTCGGCCACGGTCATTCCCTCCCTTCTCTACGCTTGCGAAACGTGGACCCCCCTAATGGAGCATCTTCGCCGGTTGGAAACATTTAGGCTGGCCTGCCTACGATCCATCCTGGGTTTAACCAGGCTGGATTGTGTGAGGAGCTCACAAATCCTTAAAAGATCTGGGCAAAGTCCCATCGGTGAGCTACTCCGGCAGGCAAGGCTGCGTTGGCTGGGTCATGTAGCCCGCATGCCCAGCCACCGCATGCCTAAACAGCTTTTGTTCGGCCGGATCGAGGGGGCTAAACGGGCGCGGCACGGGCTACAGAAAAGATGGAGTGATGTGGTACAGGAGGACGTGGAGCTGAGTGGAATTGCCGATGACTGGTACCAGCGGTGTCAAGATCGGCCTCAGTGGAGGAGGCTCGTGAAGGACGCTACTGGGCAGTTGGAGGCAGTCGCCCTCCAACAACAACGGAGGGCGGAGGAGCGACGCTCACAACAACGAGCGGAGCGCCGGGTGGCTAAAGCACAGCAAGTTGGTACAGTAGGGGGCACAGGTGGTGCATCAGCCAGTCATCTCGGTCAGTCGACCCGTGGCATCTGGGTCTGACCCGTGGCATCTGGGTCTGCCCCGTGACCTGCCAGCGGGCGTTCGACACTTCACGTGGCCTCAAGGTGCACTTGGCCTGGCACAAGCGTCGTGGTGACGTCACCGCCACTTAGTGGCGAATGGCGGTTGTTGTTGTTGTTGTGTGTGTGTGTGCGTGGGGTGCGGGTGCGTGCGTGGGGTGTGTGTGCGTGGGGTGTGTATGCGTGGGGTGTGTGTGCGTGGGGTGTGGGTGCGTGGGGTGTGTGTGCATAGCGTGTGTGCGATTCATGTGTGTGGGGTACGTGTTTGCGAGGTATGTGTGCGGCGCGTGTGTGGGGAGCGAGTGTGTGGGGTGTGTGTCGCCACAGTGAAACGGCACCTACACTCGTGAGTCAGACGCACACACACACACGGGTGCGTCGTGGGCCTGGTGCATGGCGCGTGGATCACGGCGCTAGACCCGTGGCGTCACAGTGGTGCATGGCGTGCACCGTGTGCGCGCCGCGTCGCTCGCGTCGCTTTGTATCGCACCGTGTGCGTCGGTGCCACAGCCACGACGCCGGTGCTGCAGGAGGCCGAGGTGCCAGTCGTCGCCATGGACGCCTGCAACAGCAGCCTGGGCTACAATGGGCAGCTCACGGCCGGCATGCTGTGTGCCGGCAACTGGGAGCAAGGGGGACCTGATGCCTGCAAGGTACACACACACATCCTACTCACGTGCTGCCCCCACCGCTCCCACCGCTCCCACCGCTCCGTCTGCCCCCTCCGCCCTCGTTGCTCCCCCACCGCCCCCACCGCTCCACCCGCTCCCATCGCCCCCACCGCCCCCACGTGCACTCGACGTGTCCACCTCCCCCTTCCTCCCCACCCAGGGAGACTCGGGGGGCCCGCTGACGTGCGCCGTGCAGGCCGCGGGAGGCGAGGAGTCGAGCGTGCTGCACGGCATCGTGTCGCACGGCCGGGGCTGCGGGGAGAAGTACCGGCCCGGCGTGTACACGCGCGTGTCCGCCTTCGTCACGTGGATCCACAGCAGCATGGCCGACAACGGCACGGCCGCCACGGGGAGCGCCGCCGGCGGTGCCGCCGGCTCGGCGCAACTCGCGCCGCGTTCATCTCCGTGACGACCGAGCACGGGGACGAAAGGCGACTTCTGAGCGAGCGGCCGGGTTCCCGGGGCCAGTGTCACGAGATTCATAATTGAGTTTCGAGTCGGGCCACTTCGTAAAACGGTCCGGCCAAATCTGTGTCGTAAGACCCTCCACCACCCGACACGGCCAAACTAATGATAATGCTCACGTGGTGACGCGAGCGCTTCACGACACGCTGAGTCACGCGCCACAGCTCGCCCAAAATATCTCCGCCCAGGATGATCTTCGGATGCTTTAGTGGAAAATCCTAAAAGTACCAGTCGCACCTTCAACTTTTTGCTGTGTTGACCTGGATGGAGGGTTTATGTGTGTGGGGTGTGCGGTGCGTGCGTGTCACCACAGTGAAACGGCACCAACAGTCATAATTCAGACACACCGCTAATACGTCCATATGGTCCAATAGCGCCAATACAAAACGTACTAAATCATTCTCAGCGACTTTAACTCTCACTAAATCACAGCGTCCCCAGGCGGGAGAGACGCTGGGTCTGCGGAGAATATTTTTACCAGAGAGGATTTTTAGCGGCGAGTTTTACAGGGTGCCTCTGGTGCTCCCCATCACTACGGACGTTGAGGATTTGCTACGGAGAGACTTTCACATCAAGAAACCACGCGCGATGATTTCCACCAGCGCTTTGCTTTTATTGCAAACCTTCAGCCGGACACAAGACACACGCGGGGTTCCTGTCGAGTCTCGTCTTCGTTTAAAAGCCCTCGGAATACTCTCAAGACGTGCAGCGAGAGATATCCGTTTCTCACCCCCCTACACTGCATACACGAGCGTGAGTGCGACTGACGGAACGGGAGCCCAAACGACCGGTTCAGTGGCAAGCCACCACATCGCAATGTCGGTTTTGTGCACTCTCATCGAGGGAGAACGACACAAGAGGCGCGTGGTTTGCAGCTGCGAGAGGGCAGCTGCAAACCGCGCCGTGAACCTGCGCTCTTCTGCATAGTAGTGAGTTGTCGCCCATTTAGTGAGTGTTTACACGTGTGGTAGGAAACCGCCGCACCTGGAGAAAACCCACACCTGTGGGAAGGGGCAACGCTCAATCCCCTACAGACTGGACGGGTGGAGTCCACATGTTTTGCTCTACAGCCTTCTCCTGGCAGCAACGGGGCAAGGGCTCCTCCTCGACGCCCACGAGACGTTTCACACCATCTGTGTTTGATCGACCAACCCTCGCTACTGCCTCCACACAGCTGGGTTACAGCAGCAGCATAGCCACCATCACCACCACCACCTACTGGCCTAGGCAGCTGCTCGCGTCCACTCTTCCTCTCAGAACTCCCGTGGACCAAAGTGCAGAGTTGGCTCACATGGCGAGCGCCAACGAGCGCCAACGAGCGCCAACGAGCGCCAACGAGCGCTGGTGCCTTGGGGGGGTCGGGGGGGGGGGCTCGCGGTGGCAGGGAGGAGGTGGGGGGAGATGCTCCGGCGCCCGGCTCGAGGGGTGGGGGCTCACGGTCGCCTCTGGGACAGAGTGAGCGGAACAAAACCGTTCCTGTGGGTGGGCGAGGAGGCTGCTGTGCCCACGCGGTGCGCCGGGCGGCGAGGATCGTGCAGGAGGATGGAGGAGGGGGGGAAGGAGGCGGCGACGCCGTTCTTCTCGAGGCGTCCGTCGCGTGTGATGCTGTCGCGTCAGGTTGTCTCTCGCTGGTCGCAGTGGTGCTCCACTGCCTCTAGTGGGGGTCCTGCCGGTACGTCTAGGGGGCGGCCGGTACGTCTAGGGGGCGGCCGGTACGTCTAGGGGGAGTCCTGCTCGTGTCTTGAGGGGGTGGCCGGTGGCGCAGAGTGGCGGTTTCTGCTCCGCCTCTATGAGCTCCTCCAGGCGCACCATCACGCTCTCCATGAGGTCAAAGGTGAAGAGGGCCAACTGCAGAACCTGCACACACACGCACGGGAGCAACACCTTGACCCACAGCCTGACCCAAACCCTACCCATACTCTGACCCAGCCTTGTCCACAGCCTCCTCCACAGAGCCTCCACCCACACAGCCTCCTCCACGCAGCCTCCACCCACACAGCCTCCACCCACACAGCCTCCACCCACACAGCCTCCACCCACACAGCCTCCTCCACACAGCCTCCTCCACACAGCCTCCTCCACACAGCCTCCACCCACACAGCCTCCTCCACGCAGCCTCCACCCACACAGCCTCCTCCACGCAGCCTCCACCCACACAGCCTCCTCCACACAGCCTCCTCCACACAGCCTCCACCCACACAGCCTCCACCCACACAGCCTCCTCCACACAGCCTCCACCCACACAGCCTCCACCACACAGCCTCCACCCACACAGCCTCCACCCACACAGCCTCCACCCACACAGCCTCCACCCACACAGCCTCCTCCACACAGCCTCCACCCACACAGCCTCCACCCACACAGCCTCCACCACACAGCCTCCTCCACGCAGCCTCCACCCACACAGCCTCCACCACACAGCCTCCACCACGCAGCCTCCACCCACACAGCCTCCACCACGCAGCCTCCACCCACACAGCCTCCACCACGCAGCCTCCACCCACACAGCCTCCACCCACACAGCCTCCTCCACACAGCCTCCACCCACACAGCCTCCACCCACACAGCCTCCACCACGCAGCCTCCACCCACACAGCCTCCACCACACAGCCTCCACCCACACAGCCTCCACCACGCAGCCTCCACCCACACAGCCTCCACCCACACAGCCTCCACCACGCAGCCTCCACCCACACAGCCTCCACCACACAGCCTCCACCACACAGCCTCCACCACGCAGCCTCCACCCACACAGCCTCCACCACGCAGCCTCCACCCACACAGCCTCCTCCACACAGCCTCCACCCACAGCCTCCTCCACAGCCTCCACCCACAGCCTCCTCCACACAGCCTCCACCCACAGCCTCCTCCACAGCCTCCACCCACAGCCTCCTCCACACAGCCTCCACCCACACAGCCTCCACCCACACAGCCTCCACCCACACAGCCTCCACCACGCAGCCTCCACCCACACAGCCTCCACCCACACAGCCTCCACCCACAGCCTCCTCCACACAGCCTCCTCCACACAGCCTCCACCCACAGCCTCCACCCACAGCCTCCACCACAGCCTCCTCCACACAGCCTCCACCCACAGCCTCCTCCACAGCCTCCACCACAGCCTCCACCACGCAGCCTCCACCCACACAGCCTCCACCACACAGCCTCCACCACACAGCCTCCACCCACACAGCCTCCTCCACAGCCTCCACCACACAGCCTCCACCCACACAGCCTCCTCCACAGCCTCCACCACACAGCCTCCACCCACACAGCCTCCACCCACACAGCCTCCTCCACACAGCCTCCACCCACACAGCCTCCACCACGCAGCCTCCACCCACACAGCCTCCACCACACAGCCTCCACCACAGCCTCCACCACACAGCCTCCACCCACACAGCCTCCTCCACAGCCTCCACCACACAGCCTCCACCCACACAGCCTCCACCCACACAGCCTCCTCCACAGCCTCCACCACACAGCCTCCACCACACAGCCTCCACCCACACAGCCTCCTCCACAGCCTCCACCACACAGCCTCCACCCACACAGCCTCCACCCACACAGCCTCCTCCACACAGCCTCCACCCACACAGCCTCCACCACACAGCCTCCTCCACACAGCCTCCACCCACACAGCCTCCTCCACACAGCCTCCACCCACGCAGCCTCCACCACACAGCCTCCACCCACACAGCCTCCTCCACACAGCCTCCTCCACACAGCCTCCACCCACACAGCCTCCACCCACACAGCCTCCACCCACACAGCCTCCTCCACACAGCCTCCACCCACACAGCCTCTACCACACAGCCTCCACCCACACAGCCTCCTCCACACAGCCTCCACCCACACAGCCTCCACCCACACAGCCTCCACCCACACAGCCTCCTCCACACAGCCTCCTCCACACAGCCTCCACCCACACAGCCTCCACCCACACAGCCTCCTCCACACAGCCTCCTCCACACAGCCTCCACCCACACAGCCTCCACCCACACAGCCTCCACCACACAGCCTCCTCCACACAGCCTCCTCCACACAGCCTCCACCCACACAGCCTCCACCACACAGCCTCCACCACACAGCCTCCTCCACAGCCTCCTCCACACAGCCTCCACCCACACAGCCTCCACCACACAGCCTCCACCACACAGCCTCCTCCACAGCCTCCTCCACACAGCCTCCACCCACACAGCCTTGTCTGCTATTTCGTCTGCTCTGGCTGTCCCGTCTGTACTCTCTCTCTCTCGCACCTTCTGCACCGCGCCCCGTCCCCACTACTCCGCCCTGTCCTTGTACTGGGTCCCAGAAGCAGATCTAGAAACTTCTCAAGGAGGGGGTTAGATTCTGTGGTGCGTATCAATGAAATACGAAGTCTCCGTCACCTGCCCTCCACTTGGGTTCCCCAATGATGCTACTGCCTCTCTCTCGCTCGCAGTTTCGTTCCGTCTCGATCGTTCTAACCTTTGGGCAAAGGGGAATTTTTTGTTGTTGCACGAATTATAAAATAAATCTCGATTCGCCAGCCCGAGCATCGGTTCCTTCCTCGTTAAAAACACTCTGAGGAACGTGGATTTGGGAGTTGATGTTCATGGAGAGCGGCGTGCTCGCTACACGGCCAGTGTCAACTTGGAACAACAATGACGTCAACTGGCAACGCGGCGCTGAACGGTACAGACTCGCGAAGAGAGAGAAAAGGACTCGGAGGAGCGAGGAGGAACAACAGATGAGTGGGAAGGCGGCCAGCCGGCGCCAAGTTCCGCTCTCCCCAAGCTCTGCAGTCCTCGATATGTGAAGGTGCTATCAGCCAGTTCATGAGCGCCTGGAGAAACCCACGCGTGCGAGGGGGAAACACTCTATCCCATGCACATGACCCGGCATTCGTCTGCCAGTAGGGGGTGATGATTGCTGCTGTGTGTTGTAGCCTAGAGCAAAGACAAAGGTCCCCTGTATTGCCTTAACAGATTGTTGAGGCAAGTGCTGCTAGCGAGCACCTATGAAGGCTGTCGCAGCACACGAGGGGGTGCATGGCCCAGCACCACGCCTGGTCGCCTTTGTCTCCCCCGTGGCGATGTTCACACACCGCACCAGGTACTCATTTGAGGCCGAGTCGACCCAGCGATGGCCTAGGATCAATTCAGATAACCGTCCCCGGTGTTGACCGCTACCCGCTGCGCCACCGCTGCCCCAGCGGCAGCTGTCCCCGTGCGGCACAAGGTGACCCGGGGGGACCCGTCCCTGCGAGCGGGCGTTAGTCTGCCAGTAGTGGGGGGGGGGGGGGGGGGGGAGGCGAAGATCGCCGTTGTTTCTGCGTGATCCCAGTTGAGTGTCGCGGCCCACCGGGGGTGCAATCGCGCGTGGGTGCGGGGGAACGTTGGTACCTGTGCGCGTTGCTTCGGGGGCATGCTGGGAAGGGGGTCGCCGCCCACGCTGACGGAGAGCCCCGCGCCGTCCGCGACCGAGTCTGCGAGGCGCACGAGAAGCGCTCGCATGCACAGCTCCACATGTGCAGCGTTCACCGCTAACTACTGAACTGTGTTTTACTTTACGAGGTAAAAGGCCCACTGAAACACGTAGCTGTTTTTCAGATGCGATCTGGCCTCAAATCATAGCTCAACGAAATGGCTTATCATGTGGAAATTTATAGCGGCCACATACTCTAAACGTGTGATGTTGATTCTAAATGTGTAGGGAAAAACCGGAGGACCTGTTTGTGAGTGGGGGTGTGTGTGAGTGTGTGAGTGAGTTTATGTGTCAGTGTGTGAATAAGTATGTGAGTGAGTATGTGTGAGTGTGTGAGTGAGTGTGTGAGTGAGAATGAGTGAGTGAATGTGTGAATGAATGTGTGAGTGAGTGTGAGTATTTGAGTCAGCGTGTGAGTGAGTGAGTGTGTGAGTGAGTGTGTGTGAGTATGTGAGTGACTGAGTGTGTGAGTGAGTATGAGTGAGTGAATGTGTGAATGAATGTGTGAGTGAGTGTGAGTTTTTGAGTCAGCGTGTGAGTGAGTGTGTGAGTGTGTGAGTGAGTGTGAGTATGTGAGTGACTGAGTGTGTCAGTGAGTATGAGTGAGTGAATGTGTGAGTGTGAGTATTTGAGTGAGCGTGTGATTGAGTGAGTGAGCGTGTGAGTGAGTGAGTGAGTGTGAGTGAGTGTGTGAATGTGCGTGTGTGAGTATGTGAGTGACTGTGTGTAAGTGAGTATGAGTGAGTGTGTGAGTGTCAGTATATGAGTGTGTGAGTGAGTGTGAGTATGTGTACGAGTGACCATGTGAGCGATCGTGTGAGCATGAGTGAGCATGTGAGTGTGTGAGTGTATGTGAGTGAGCATGTGAGTGAGCGTGTGAGTGAGTGTGAGTGGATGTGTGAGTGTGTGAGTGTGAGTATGTGAGTGACTGAGTGTGTGAGTGAGTATGAGTGAGTGTGTGAGTGTCAGTATATGAGTGAGTGTGTGAATGTGCGTGTGTGAGTGTGAGTATGTGAGTGACTGTGTGTGAGTGAGTATGAGTGAGTGTGTGAGTGTCAGTATATGAGTGTTTGAGTGAGTGTGAGTATGTGTACGAGTGACCATGTGAGCGATTGTGTGAGCACGAGTGAGCGTGTGAGTGTGTGAGTGTGAGTATGTGAGTGAGCATGTGAGTGAGTGTGTGAGTGAGTGAGTGTGAGTGGATGTGTGAGTGTGAGTATGTGAGTGACTGAGTGTGTGAGTGAGTATGAGTGAGTGTGTGAGTGTCAGTACATGAGTGAGTGTGTGAGTGAGTGTGAGTATGTGTACGAGTGAGCATGTGAGCGATCGTGTGAGCATGAGTGAGTGTGTGAGTGTGAGCGTGTGAGTGAGTGTGTGAGTGAGTGTGTGAGTGAGTGTGAGTGAGTGTGAGTGAGCGTGAGTGAGTGTGTCAGTGAGTGTGTGAGCGAGCATGTGAGCGAATATGTAAGTGTTAGTATGTATGTGAGTGAGTGTGTGTGAGTGAGTGTGTGAGCATGTGAGTGAACATGTGAGTGTGTGTGAGTGAGTGTGTGAGCATGTGAGTGAACATGTGAGTGAGTGTGTGAGTGAGCGTGTGAGTGTGTGAGTGAGTGAGTGTGTGAGTGAGTGAGCGTGTGAGTGAGCGTGTGAGTGAACGTGTGAGTGAGTGTGTGTGTGAGTGAGCGTGAGTGAGTGAGCGTGTAAGTGAGTGAGCGTGAGTGAGTGTGTGAGTGAGCGTGTGAATGAGTGAGTGTGAGCACATGAGTGTGTGAGTGAGCGTGTGAATGAGTGAGTGTGAGTGTGTGAGTGTGTAAGTGTGAGTGTGTGAGTGTGTGAGTAAGTGAGTATGCGCACCTCTCCGCGCGTCCCCACTGCGCGCGCGCCTCAACTCGTTGTCGTAGTGCGCCCGCGACAGCGACAGCCCCGTGCGCAGGGGCCGCAGGAAGCGCTCCTCCAGGCGGCTCAACTCGGTCCACACACACGTCTACGCGGCACACCACCACCAGCAGCAGCGTCACAATACCACCGGCAGCAGCATCGCAACATACCACCAGCAGCATCACAACACAACAGCAGCAGCGTCACAACACCACCACCAGCAGCGTCACTACACCACCAGCAGCGTCACTACACCACCAGCAGTGTCACAACACCACCAGCAGCGTAACACCACCAGCAGCATCACTACACCACCACCAGCAGCGTCACAACACGCCATCCGCAGCATCACATATCACGTGCCACAACAGATCACCAACATCACATACACTATCATCAGAAGCACCTGTGTCACAACACGTCACAAACCACCACCACTGTCAAGGACCATGCGTCATAACAGACCACCACCACCACTAGCATCATAACACACCGCCAACGGCATCAAAACGCGTAGCCGCCACACCACACCATTGTCACAACACACCACCACCAGCGTCACAGCACATCACAAAATTCTACCACCCTCACAACACACCACCACCAGCGTCACACAGCACGTCACAACACTCTACCACCCTCACAACACACCACCACCAGCGTCACAGCCCGTCACAACACTCTACCACCCTCACAACACACCACCACCAGCGTCACACAGCACGTCACAACACTCTACCACCCTCACAACACACCACCACCAGCGTCACAGCACATCACAGCACTCTACCACCCTCACAACACACCACCACCAGCGTCACAGCACGTCACAACACTCTACCACCCTCACAACACACCACCACCAGCGTCACAGCACATCACATCACTCTACCACCCTCACCACACACCACCACCAGCGTCACAGCACATCACAACACTCTACCACCCTCACAACACACCACCACCAGCGTCACAGCACATCACAACACTCTACCACCCTCACCACACACCACCACCAGCGTCACAGCACATCACAACACTCTACCACCCTCACAACACACCACCACCAGCGTCACAGCACGTCACAACACTCTACCACCCTCACTACACACCACCACCAGCGTCACGGCACATCACAGCACTCTACCACACTCACAACACACCACCACCAGCGTCACAGCATGACACAACACTCTACCACCCTCACAACACACCACCACCAGCGTCACAGCACGTCACAACACTCTACCACCCTCACAACACACCACCACCAGCGTCACGGCACGTCACAACACTCTACCACCCTCACTACACACCACCACCAGCGTCACGGCACATCACAGCACTCTACCACCCTCACAACACACCACCACCAGCGTCACGGCACGTCACAACACTCTACCACCCTCACAACACACCACCACCAGCGTCACAGCACGTCACAACACTCTACCACCCTCACAACACACCACCACCAGCGTCACAGCACAACACATCACTCTACCACCCTCACAACACACCACCACCAGCGTCACAGCACGTCACAACACTCTACCACCCTCACAACACACCACCACCAGCGTCACAGCACATCACAACACTCTACCACCCTCACAACACACCACCACCAGCGTCACAGCACGTCACAGCACTCTACCACCCTCACAACACACCACCACCAGCGTCACAGCACATCACAGCACTCTACCACCCTCACAACACACCACCACCAGCGTCACAGCACAACACAACACTCTACCACCCTCACAACACACCACCACCAGCGTCACAGCACATCACAGCACTCTACCACCCTCACAACACACCACCAGCGTCACGGCACGTCACAACACAACACCACCACCGTCACCATACGCGGCATCACAACACTTTGCGGGTGTGAACGAGGCGAGGCTGAGTGGGCGAGTGATTGTGTCGAGTGACCTGCTGTGTGGTGGGTTCGACGCAGTGTCTGGCTGACCCGAGGGCTCAACACGGGTGCAAGAACCAACGAGCGCGGTGCATGGGGCCGGTAGCCATGGCGGTGGCGATCGGTAAACCGGGAGCCGCTCACTCACCCGATTCTCCCACGGGGGGTCGCGTATGACCAGGTACCTCAGCAGATTGAGCCCGGCCATCACACTGCAGGGACACAGACGACACACAAACCAAGGGGGTGAGGGTGGCCTTTACCACATGTGTATACATTGGGGGGGGGGGGGGGGGGGGGGGGCTGCGTTATTGTTTGGAGCCACCCTGCTCCTAGCTCACTCGTGCCCGTTGTGAACAAAGTTCATGAACCGTCCGTGCCAATGCTTAGTCCGTGGCCAACGTAGGAATGTTTAACTTCTTTGACACCGTACGTAGCCAACCATGCCAGTCGGAGGTGTGCCAGCCCTTAACCCGTACCGCCGGCGCCCATGCGGTCCCCCGAGACCCGCCCCCCCCCTCCCCCCGCGTTATCTCACCGGTCGGATCCCTGCAGGAGGTCAGTCTCGGCCCCGCGCTCCAGGGAGAGCGCCGAGTGCAGCAGCGGCACGAGCGAAGGGCCCAGGAAGCAGGCCCTGTCCCCGTCGGCGGAGCCCTGCGGCCAGCAGAGTTGGCGACGGGGTTCAACGTCACCGCACGTCTCCGCCCACGGACCGCGAGGCCGCCCCACCTCTCTCCCTGTATCACCGCAGGCCCTGGCTACCTCAATCCTGACGCCCAGGGCCCATGAACCACACGGCCCCTCATCACCATCTCTTGTGTCAGTGACTCTGGCTAGCAGCAGAGAATATTAAATCCTAGAGCAGTCACAGTGACCGTCGATCCAGCACCCACTCATTTCGCTCTTGTCACTCGTTCACCGGTCGCCAGTTCCTTACTTGTCCCTCTTCTATCGCTACCACCATGGTTACCTTTACCGTGAATTTGATTCCTCCACCCACACTGCAGGTCACAACAACACTCACTCACCCACTCACCTCGAACTGTAAAGGTTGTGGGCTTACTCTACAACACACCGGTGTGCTGAACTAATAACTAATTGGCATGTTTTGCTTACGTGACAAACCTTACTAATTGGCTGTGTCGGGTGGTGGCGGGTTTAATGACACATTTATATTTACGCGATGTAACCCCAAAAAAACTGTTATTATGGATCATCATCATCATTGGCTTTGGATGTTGAACTTATTTCGCACAGTATGTAGCCAACCGTGCTAATGGGAGGTGCTTTCCCAAGCTCTTACGATCGTAACCTCGCTCAACTCTAGACACGTGTCAATGCACCCTTCATCTGTCAACAGCAGTGCCGTTTGCCGCTGGCCACTTGAACGCTGCTGGGCCACCGCATTCATCGCAACGGGTGGCGGAGCGCCGAGCGGCTGCTCCTCCCGCAGGGCGCTCTCATCCCGCAGGGCGCTCGCTCGCGCCGTGCGCACCTGAAGCGCGAGGTCGACCTGCGTCTTGACCGCGTGGATGAGGAGGCCGGCGACCCCCGCGTGGGAGCTCGTCCTGAACAGCACCCTGCGGCACAGGCAGGGAGCGCCGGGGGGGGGGGGGGGGGGGTCCCGGGGAGACAGACATTGAGAGAGATGCGGGGAGGCTGTGTTCTGCAGATTGTGAGAGTTTGTATGTTCTCATCCTGTTCTACAGAGTGAGTGTGAGTCGAGTTTGTATGTTCTCTCCCTGTTCTACAGGGTGTGAGTGAATGTAGTTTGTATGTTCTCCTCCTGTACTACAGAGAGTGTGAGTCGAGTTTGTATGTTCTCCCTCTGTTCTGAATGGGCTTCCTCTGGGTTTTCCACTTCCCTCCCACACACACACAATGTAACTGGTATTGGCCAAATCATCGCAATGCTGAAAGATTAGACTGCATATTACTCAAGCAGCAGCGGCAACATCACCCCTCTACTGTAAAATCTTGGCAAGACCCACCCCCCTGAGAAAAGAGTCTTGAAACTCAGCGAGGCTGTCCTGGGTTACCTGCGTTGCAGAGCGGCACCTCCGCGGGCGACACGGGGGGCACTCACCTGTACAGCGTGTGCGTGGCAGCCGGCTCGAAGCGCTCCAGGTACGACTGGAACAGACTCAGGCTGCGCCTGCGCTGAGGGTCCACACACAGCACGCACACGAGAGACGTATGAGTACTGTTGTTGTTGTTATGGCACTTGTGTACCCGGGGAGGGCTCGCCGAGTCTCAAGGCTCTTTTACATGCGGGTCGTGCCAAGATTTTGCAGTAGGCGGCGATGTTGCTACTGTGTATGGGGCGATGTTGCTACTGTGTAGGGGGCGATGTTGCTACTGTGTAGGGGGTGATGTTGCTACTGTGTATGGGGCGATGTTGCTACTGTGTAGGGGCGATGTTGTTACTGTGTAGGGGGTGATGTTGTTACTGTGTAGGGGGCGATGTTGCTACTGTGTAGGGGCGATGTTGTTACTGTGTAGGGGGTGATGTTGTTACTGTGTAGGGGGCGATGTTGCTACTGTGTAGGGGGCGATGTTGTTACTGTGTAGGGGGCGATGTTGCTACTGTGTAGGGGGTGATGTTGTTACTGTGTAGGGGGCGATGTTGCTACTGTGTAGGGGGTGATGTTGTTACTGTGTAGGGGGCGATGTTGTTACTGTGTAGGGGGTGATGTTGCTACTGTGTAGGGGGCGATGTTGTTACTGTGTAGGGGGTGATGTTGTTACTGTGTAGGGGGCGATGTTGCTACTGTGTAGGGGGCGATGTTGTTACTGTGTAGGGGGCGATGTTGCTACTGTGTAGGGGGTGATGTTGTTACTGTGTAGGGGGCGATGTTGTTACTGTGTAGGGGGCGATGTTGCTACTGTGTAGGGGGCGATGTTGCTACTGTGTAGGGGGTGATGTTGCTACTGTGTAGGGGGCGATGTTGCTACTGTGTAGGGGGTGATGTTGTTACTGTGTAGGGGGCGATGTTGTTACTGTGTAGGGGGTGATGTTGCTACTGTGTAGGGGGCGATGTTGCTACTGTGTAGGGGGCGATGTTGCTACTGTGTAGGGGGCGATGTTGTTACTGTGTAGGGGGTGATGTTGCTACTGTGTAGGGGGCGATGTTGCTACTGTGTAGGGGGCGATGTTGCTACTGTGTAGGGGGTGATGTTGCTACTGTGTATGGGGCGATGTCGTTACTGTGTAGGGGGCGATGTTGCTACTGTGTAGGGGGCGATGTTGTTACTGTGTAGGGGGCGATGTTGCTACTGTGTAGGGGGCGATATTGTTACTGTGTAGGGGGCGATGTTGTTACTGTGTAGGGGGCGATGTTGCTACTGTGTAGGGGCGATGTTGCTACTGTGTAGGGGGCGATGTTGTTACTGTGTAGGGGGCGATGTTGCTACTGTGTAGGGGGCGATGTTGCTACTGTGTAGGGGGCGATATTGTTACTGTGTAGGGGGCGATGTTGTTACTGTGTAGGGGGCGATGTTGCTTACTGTGTAGGGGGCGATGTTGCTACTGTGTAGGGGGCGATGTTGCTTACTGTGTAGGGGGTGATGTTGCTACTGTGTAGGGGGCGATGTTGCTACTGTGTAGGGGGTGATGTTGCTACTGTGTAGGGGGTGATGTTGCTACTGTGTATGGGGCGATGTTGTTACTGTGTAGGGGGTGATGTTGTTACTGTGTAGGGGGCGATGTTGTTACTGTGTAGGGGGCGATGTTGTTACTGTGTAGGGGGTGATGTTGCTACTGTGTAGGGGGCGATGTTGCTACTGTGTAGGGGGCGATGTTGTTACTGTGTAGGGGGCGATGTTGCTACTGTGTAGGGGGCGATGTTGTTACTGTGTAGGGGGCGATGTTGTTACTGTGTAGGGGGTGATGTTGCTACTGTGTAGGGGGCGATGTTGTTACTGTGTAGGGGGCGATGTTGTTACTGTGTAGGGGGCGATGTTGTTACTGTGTAGGGGGCGATGTTGCTACTGTGTAGGGGGCGATGTTGTTACTGTGTAGGGGGCGATGTTGTTACTGTGTAGGGGGTGATGTTGCTACTGTGTAGGGGGCGATGTTGTTACTGTGTAGGGGGCGATGTTGTTACTGTGTAGGGGGCGATGTTGTTACTGTGTAGGGGGCGATGTTGCTACTGTGTAGGGGGCGATGTTGTTACTGTGTAGGGGGTGATGTTGCTACTGTGTAGGGGGCGATGTTGCTACTGTGTAGGGGGTGATGTTGCTACTGTGTATGGGGCGATGTTGTTACTGTGTAGGGGGTGATGTTGTTACTGTGTAGGGGGCGATGTTGTTACTGTGTAGGGGGCGATGTTGTTACTGTGTAGGGGGTGATGTTGCTACTGTGTAGGGGGCGATGTTGCTACTGTGTAGGGGGCGATGTTGTTACTGTGTAGGGGGCGATGTTGCTACTGTGTAGGGGGCGATGTTGTTACTGTGTAGGGGGTGATGTTGTTACTGTGTAGGGGGCGATGTTGTTACTGTGTAGGGGGCGATGTTGCTACTGTGTAGGGGGCGATGTTGTTACTGTGTAGGGGGCGATGTTGTTACTGTGTAGGGGGCGATGTTGTTACTGTGTAGGGGGCGATGTTGCTACTGTGTAGGGGGCGATGTTGCTACTGTGTAGGGGGCGATGTTGTTACTGTGTAGGGGGTGATGTTGCTACTGTGTAGGGGGCGATGTTGCTACTGTGTAGGGGTGATGTTGCTACTGTGTAGGGGGCGATGTTGCTACTTTGTAGGGGTGATGTTGCTACTGTGTAGGGGCGATGTTGCTACTGTGTAGGGGGCGATGTTGTTACTGTGTAGGGGCGATGTTGCTACTGTGTAGGGGGTGATGTTGCTACTGTGTAGGGGGCGATGTTGCTACTGTGTAGGGGTGATGTTGCTACTGTGTAGGGGCGATGTTGCTACTGTGTAGGGGGTGATGTTGCTACTGTGTAGGGGTGATGTTGCTACTGTGTAGGGGCGATGTTGCTACTGTGTAGGGGGCGATGTTGCTACTGTGTAGGGGGCGATGTTGTTACTGTGTAGGGGTGATGTTGCTACTGTGTAGGGGGTGATGTTGCTACTGTGTAGGGGGCGATGTTGCTACTGTGTAGGGGTGATGTTGCTACTGTGTAGGGGCGATGTTGCTACTGTGTAGGGGTGATGTTGCTACTGTGTAGGGGCGATGTTGCTACTGTGTAGGGGGTGATGTTGCTACTGTGTAGGGGCCGATGTTGCTACTGTGTAGAGGTGATGTTGCTACTGTGTAGGGGCGATGTTGCTACTGTGTAGGGGGTGATGTTGCTACTGTGTAGGGGTGATGTTGCTACTGTGTAGGGGCGATGTTGCTACTGTGTAGGGGGCGATGTTGCTACTGTGTAGGGGGCGATGTTGTTACTGTGTAGGGGTGATGTTGCTACTGTGTAGGGGCGATGTTGCTACTGTGTAGGGGGCGATGTTGCTACTGTGTAGGGGGCGATGTTGTTACTGTGTAGGGGGCGATGTTGCTACTGTGTATGGGGCGATGTTGTTACTGTGTATGGGGTGATGTTGCTACTGTGTAGGGGCGATGTTGCTACTGTGTAGGGGGCGATGTTGCTACTGTGTAGGGGGCGATGTTGTTACTGTGTAGGGGGTGATGTTGTTACTGTGTAGGGGGTGATGTTGTTACTGTGTAGGGGGCGATGTTGCTACTGTGTAGGGGGCGATGTTGTTACTGTGTAGGGGGTGATGTTGTTACTGTGTAGGGGGTGATGTTGCTACTGTGTAGGGGGTGATGTTGTTACTGTGTAGGGGGTGATGTTGTTACTGTGTAGGGGGCGATGTTGTTACTGTGTAGGGGGCGATGTTGTTACTGTGTAGGGGGTGATGTTGTTACTGTGTAGGGGGTGATGTTGCTACTGTGTAGGGGGTGATGTTGTTACTGTGTAGGGGGCGATGTTGTTACTGTGTAGGGGGTGATGTTGTTACTGTGTAGGGGGCGATGTTGCTACTGTGTAGGGGGCGATGTTGCTACTGTGTAGGGGGTGATGTTGTTACTGTGTAGGGGGCGATGTTGCTACTGTGTAGGGGGCGATGTTGCTACTGTGTAGGGGGTGATGTTGTTACTGTGTAGGGGGCGATGTTGCTACTGTGTAGGGGGTGATGTTGCTACTGTGTAGGGGGTGATGTTGTTACTGTGTAGGGGGTGATGTTGTTACTGTGTAGGGGGCGATGTTGCTACTGTGTAGGGGGCGATGTTGCTACTGTGTAGGGGGTGATGTTGCTACTGTGTAGGGGGCGATGTTGCTACTGTGTAGGGGGTGATGTTGCTACTGTGTAGGGGGCGATGTTGCTACTGTGTAGGGGGTGATGTTGTTACTGTGTAGGGGGCGATGTTGCTACTGTGTAGGGGGTGATGTTGCTACTGTGTAGGGGGCGATGTTGCTACTGTGTAGGGGGTGATGTTGTTACTGTGTAGGGGGCGATGTTGCTACTGTGTAGGGGGTGATGTTGTTACTGTGTAGGGGGCGATGTTGCTACTGTGTAGGGGGCGATGTTGCTACTGTGTAGGGGGTGATGTTGTTACTGTGTAGGGGGCGATGTTGCTACTGTGTAGGGGGTGATGTTGTTACTGTGTAGGGGGCGATGTTGCTACTGTGTAGGGGGTGATGTTGTTACTGTGTAGGGGGCGATGTTGCTACTGTGTAGGGGGCGATGTTGTTACTGTGTAGGGGGCGATGTTGCTACTGTGTAGGGGGTGATGTTGTTACTGTGTAGGGGGCGATGTTGCTACTGTGTAGGGGGTGATGTTGTTACTGTGTAGGGGGCGATGTTGTTACTGTGTAGGGGGCGATGTTGTTACTGTGTAAGGGGCGATGTTGCTACTGTGTAGGGGGCGATGTTGCTACTGTGTAGGGGGCGATGTTGTTACTGTGTAGGGGGTGATGTTGTTACTGTGTAGGGGGTGATGTTGTTACTGTGTAGGGGGCGATGTTGCTACTGTGTAGGGGGTGATGTTGTTACTGTGTAGGGGGCGATGTTGCTACTGTGTAGGGGGCTATGTTGCTACTGTGTAGGGGGCGATGTTGTTACTGTGTAGGGGGTGATGTTGTTACTGTGTAGGGGGCGATGTTGCTACTGTGTAGGGGGCGATGTTGCTACTGTGTAAGGGGCGAT